TTATTTTTTTCCTTTCCCTAGGGACAAATATTCCTCCTTTCCAACCCAAAGCATTCTGTGTTCCCATGTTATTGTGAAGGCTGAGCCAGCAGCACTCAGATGAATGCATGTCACAATCCAGGAGTGAAAAACTTCCCTCTAAACCCCTAAAAGGCAAATCATGCTGGGAAGGAAGCACAGGAATCAAGGTGACATGTCGTGCAGCAGCAGCAGGTGGGGTGATTTCACTGCCTAAAACCCAACAGCTTTGCTGTCTGTTCCTTTTATACTCCTCCTTTAACAATCCTGTGTTAATTTGGGAACTCCCAGGCTATTGGGAAGGCTGGGAAGCTGTGTCAGGAGCAGAGCAGCTGCTCAAATCATCGTGAGCTCCCAGTCTGTGGAGCACTTTGCTCCCTGCTGCCCAAACTCATTCATTTGGTTCAGCTGCCTTCTCCTCCTGAAGGGAATCCCTTCCCCTGGGAATGGTGCTCTGGGTGTGGTGGAAGCTGCACCTCGTGCCTGTGGGCTGCTCCTTCCTCCTGCCCCTCCTGGGGACAGATCCCATTTTCCACCAGGATTTCCACCTTTCATTTCCCAGGAAGATGTGTTTGTCTGCACGTTTCCAGCAGGAGAACCACGATGCTGGGTGGTTCTGTAAGGGCAGGAAGGGAGCAAATCCCCTCCAGGCATACCAGGACAGGGCTTTTCCACGAGCTTGGGCTGAAATTTGTCACACTGGCAGCATAATTCATTAATTAATTAGCCTGGGCAGCAAAATGCCCAGTGTGGCACCTGTGTGTGTCTCCATCCATGGGCACAGTCCTGCCCTCCCTCACCTTTTGGGAGGAAAGGAAGGGGGAGGCAGTGGTGGAGCCAAGAATGAGAGCCCTGGGATCACCACTCCCCTCCCTGTGCTTCTCCTGGCTTTAATAATCCCTCCCACACCCCCATCCATGTTCAAGGTCCGTGCCTTGATGTCTCCTCAGAATTCCCACCCTCAGCCCCCAGTTATTTATGCATTTCCAGCCTGCAAGGCAAAAATGTGCAGCAGTAAATTAGGCTGCTGGGAGAGACCAAAATTTATTATTCTTGGCTTGGTGATGGGGTAAAGTTTTGAGTTTATCCTTCGTGTTCCTCATTTAAACCGTGGTGATTAATCAGCAGTGAGCAATTTGTTTCCCCTCCTCTCTGTAGGACTAGCTCTGTGTAATGCTAAATCCTGCTCAATATTTGATATATTTAAAACCTGCACTTTCATTTTTTCATTAAAAGAGCCTCTCACCCACATTTCTGAGATAACAACTTGGAATAAAGTAGCTCTTTGTGAATGCTGGGAGAGCGACGCTGTCTAGGTCTGATGTCTGAAATGTAACACATTAAAAAATAATCATCCTTCTACCTGTGCAAAATTCATCAGATTAAATAATGGCCCTAATACCATTTCCCTGGTGACCTTTATTGAGGAAAGAAGAAATTCTTCCTGAGATACTAAAAATAACCACGACAAAGCAGAGTTTCTCTAAACTTTGGTGTTGTCATTCTCTCTAAACTCTTTGAAACAAAGCTAAACCTCCCTCCAGCATTACAGAACATTCAGTTCTGCACCATTCTCTAGAAGCATCTCATCCCTGGAACCCCAAAAATCTGCCCCAGAATCTCTGCCTGGATCTCTGTAGCATTCCCAGGAACCTGCCCTGAGAACAACCCCAGGCCTGCTCTCCCATTCCCCTTAGCTGGGTACCATGCTCACAATCTTCTGGGAGCAGAAATCATGATCTGGAGCTGTAAGCACTAAAAAAAGGTTAATTTGGGCTTTGCTGCCCTAAAAATATGATGTTTCCTATTCTCTAAGCATTTCAACAGAGCTTTGAAGGCAAAGAGAAAGGTTTTCAACAGTTTGAATCAAGATTTTGTCCTTTCTCTTAGAAGAGCTGCAGAAGAGCCACAGCAGCAGAGACACTTCCCCAAATCCACTTGGGAATCCAGCACAAACAACTTCCTTGCTGTTTTCCCCTCCAAGCAAAGCTTCCAGGACCTCCTGGAAGCCAAATATTGGCTAAACCCTACAGGTCTGTGCAAACAGAGCATCTCCACAGGAATCCCACTGCCATGGCACAAGGATGGGGTGGACAGGGCTGGATGGGATATTGGGAAGGAATTCTTCTCTGGGAGGGTGGGCAGGCCCTGGCACAGGGTGCCCCTGGATCCCTGGCAGTGCCCAAGGCCAGCTTGGAACCACCTTTTGCAGGGTTGTTGCTCCTGCTGGGTGACTCCTGAGAGAATTAATTCAATTTTATCCAGTGAAGAGCAACCATCCTTGCCAGAAAGAGAAACCACATTCCAGCTGTCCTGGCTGGTGCCACCTCAAAAGCCATGTGTGAATTACCTGATTCTGCTCCTGTTGTTGCTAGAGCTTTGATCCAGCTCCAGCTTTAGCCTGGGATCAGCTGGGCTCAGTGCAGACAGAAAGCTCACTGACACTCCCTTCTTCCAGAAAGAAGGAAAAAAGGCAAAACTCCTCAGTTCTCATCAGCAGCCAGCAGCCTCCAAAATTCACCTGATGAACTGCACAGCTCTTTGGGCTTATCAAAGCTTGAGGTTTAACAATGCTTGTAATAAATGCAAGTCTTCCTCAGACTACAAACAATGATAACTCAGCAACATGGAACCAGGGAATGGCTTCCCTTGGAAGGGATCTAAAGTTCATCTCACCACATCCCTGCCACTGTCCCAGGCTGCTCCAGCCTGGCCTTGGGCACTGCCAGGGATGCAGGGGCAGCCCCAGCTGCTCTGGGCACCCTGTGCCAGGGCCTGCCCACCCTGCCAGGGAACAATTCCTCATTCCCAATGTCCCATCCAGCCCTGCCCTCTGGCACTGGGAGCCATTCCCTGGGTCCTGGCACTCCAGGCTGTTGTCCCAAGTCCCTCTCCAGCTTTCTTGGAGCCCCTTCAGGCACTGCAAGTGCCAGTTTGGTGACCCCAGAGCTTCTCCTCTCCAGGTGAGCAGCCCCAGCTGTGCCAGCCTTTCCTCCCAGCAGAGCTGCTCCATCCCTCTGCCCATCCTGGTGCCTGCCCTGGGCTCTCTGCAGCAGCTCCAGGTCCCTCCTGTGCTGGCCCCAGGGCTGGGGCAGCTCTGCAGGTGGGGTCTCACCTGAGCCCAGGGCACAGGGGCAGAATCCCCCCCTCCCCTGCTGCCCACGCTGGGGCTCAGCCCAGGGCACGGGGGGGTTCTGGCTCCCAGCTCTGCCCCCAGCACCCCCAGGGCCTTCCCCAGGGCTGCTCCAGCTGCTCATCCCCAGCCTGGATCCATCCCAGGGGCTGTCCTGACCCAGGGGTGGCACCAGCACCTGGCCTTGTTAAACCCATACAATTCCCATGGGCCACTTCTGGACCTTGTTCAGGTCCCCCTGGGTGGCCCTGTCCTCCAGGAGAGTTTTAAAGTCACCATTTCTGCAGCAGCATTTGAGGGGTGAGCAAGTGTGTGCAGGAGAACAAGGTGAGCAGGAAAACATTTAGCCCCAGCTGGAAATTATCCCTAATTTTAACCTTTCCAGTTACACCTGGAGTAAACTGCTGGAAAATGAAGAAGCCACTTCCCAGCCACTGAGAGCATCACACAGAAGGAACTTGGGGACAACCACCCCTGTCATGCACTGGAGACTCCTGTAAATATCAAGCAGTATTCCCTTGGAATGGGTGGCCGTTCCCAGGAAGCATTTCCATGGCCTATTCCCACTGGGTGTTTGCCCAGCATTTACTAAAAAATCACTTCTTTTTTGTGTTCTAATCCCTTTTCCATTTTGCTGACTGTTCTCCAGGTTCTGGAAGGATTCAGGCTGTGATGGGAGGATGCTGAGTGACTGTGCTGGGCCATTTCTGCCAGCAGACAGACACTTGTAACCCACCACCACCACCACCCTGTCCTTTCCCTCACTCCAAATCCTGGGTGCAGGGACTCCCCTCCATTACTACAAACACATTTTATATTAATATTTGATTTTCCAACAGATCCCTGACAGATCTGTGGGGCTTTCTTTACACTCTTAAGTAGTAAATACTTAAACAAGGGAGAAAATAGGAATAATTCAATTTTCCACCTTGCTTTCCTTCTCCCCTCCCAGTAGGAATTACACTGCCCTACCACAACCCCAGAAATTTCTCATTTGGATCTTCCCTGGTCTGAAACTGTACCAGATGCCGTGCTAAGCCACAAAATCCTGATTGGAGAAGTGCAGGAATTAAATCAGTGGCAGGAGGGGTCATTATCACCTTGATCCACCAGCAAGAGCTTCTGCCACTCAGGGGAAGCTGCTCCAGCCCGACAAATTTCGGTGCTTAAACAGCTCTAAATGCCATCCCAAGGCACAGATCTGGAATTCTACTCCCTGTATCCCAAGCTGGGTTAATGCCTTGTTTCCCAAAGGGAAATAAAAGGATTTTTTTTTTTTTACTGGCTCAATCTGTGAGGTTCCTGCTGTTGGTTCTGGCTGCTCACAGCCTCAAATCCAGAGTTATTTGTGGCATGGCATCCCCCAAAAGGCAAAGTTTGGAATTCTGTATTGATTTACAGGATGACACCCCTAGAAAATAAAAGGGGAAAAAAATACCCCCCACACCCCCAAATCTTGTCCACCTGAGGAAGGTTTCCCCACAGTATTCCTATTTTTTAAAAGTTTAGCTAAAATTGAATTAATTTTAGATAACACAGCCCCCTCACTGCTGAAAAAAAGTGGGAATTGTGATCTCTGTGCATTGTGGGAGATGCTCTGAGCACCTGGACAGCACAAAGGAGCAGATGGGGATGGAATTTCCCTTGGATAATAAGCAGGGACATCACTACTGACCACCAGTGTCCAGCCCCAGGATCCTTCCCAGAGCTACACATGCTGCAGTTAGTTCAGAAATAAAGAAACAATTTCTGTTTTCCCTCAGAAAATTGGGAGAAAATGAAGATCAGGAACAGAACTGACAGACTTTGCAATAAAAGTGAGGCAGTGAAATAATAACAGTGTCTTAAACAGGATTAAAATATAACATTTTACTCATTATTTCAAAGAATAGATTTTTTTTTTCTTTCTTCCATCAGTCTTATCTGTATGTCCAGCCTCCAGCTTAACTCCAAACAGCTGTTTTAGCGCCGGTCCCAAGTGCAAATATGCCAAGAAAAAGGAATCAGGGAAAAGAAACATCTGGTGGGTTTGTTTTCCCCACGTGTGAGAGGCTACAGTGCATTTCTCTTGCCTGAAAACAAGCACCATTGCTCAGAATATTTGGTCAGAAACCTCAGCTTGAGAAGGAGGTATTGGACAGAGAAGTCACATGGACAGCACATTGCAGACAGCTCCCAAAGACAAACATTCCCAGGGATCTGCTGGGGGACAGCCTGGGCAAAGGGAAACCCAACACAGCCACAGCAGCACCAAGTCCTTTTACTGCCAGAGCAGGTCCATCCTCACCCAGACCTGGTGGTGAGGCCTCAGCAGCTGAAAGGGGAGAGAATGGTGCTGCCAATCTCTTCCTTGCCAGTTACACACATTGATCTGCTGGCTCTTCCAATCTTTCCAGAGGAATCCAGGTTGTTCTCACAATTGGTTTGGTTTTACCCCAAAAAAGTTTGCACAACACAACAGGACACTTTTCTCAGGTGAACGTGGTTCTGCTTTTTTTTCTTTTGCTGCTTCATACTGGAGAAAACCACTTTTCTTTGTCTTTTTTTGGGTGTTGGTGACACCAAACAGTGAAAATTCTCAGCTCCCTGCCCAAGCTGTGACAACACACTCAAAACCTCAAGGTAAAACCAGAAATTGTAACCAGGTGCCTGAATTTATGTCGTGTATTTCACAGGTAATGGGTACTATAAGTTTTGGAAACAACTCTGTGTGTGTGTGTGTGTGTCCTGAGACCCTTTGCCCTTCCCAGATCTGTCTGTGCACGTTCACCTCATAAAATATTCCCCTTTTCTCCTTTTCCCTGTGGGATCCATTTGTCTTTTCAGCACATTTGTGTTCAGTTAGCAGAGTGGAATGGTGATGGCACTGCTTAACCCACCAGCCAACTGGGCTTGGGAATGGATCCATCCTCTTCCCATTAACTCCTCTTTAGTGCCTCCCACTGTCACAGGCTCATGGATCATCCTGCTTTATTCCAGAGGAATACAGCCATAGGATGACAATTACTGATAGAGCACAAAAGCTGGAGCTAGAGACCATGGAAAGAAGCAAACACAACTGATGTGGGAAGAGATGAAAAGATGAAAAATTGACCGGAGAAGAAAATTGGAATGAGCTAATTTACAAAAGAAAATGAACAAACCACGGCCAGGTAGCTCTGAATAAGATTAATTGCTATACATTGCCTTCCTCTTTTGTATTTTTATCTTATTTCAGCTTCTCTTGCACTTTTCTAAGTGGCAGTGCTATAATCTCAGGAACTTTGATTCCATAACTTTGCCAGCTGGGCGTTGTTTGCATAAATTGCTCTGACTTTGGAACTGGGACTCAAATTCCAGCAGCAGCCGAGGATTTGCTCCATTGACTTGGATGGGTTTATTTTTAATTTATTACTCTGAGGTCAGAAGGCAGAGCTCCGGATATCAATCTTGAACATAAATAGACAATTCCCAAATCTAGACAGTAGAGCCACAAGTACCATACAGAAAAACAAAGCCAGGCAGGTGTAGAGCTGTCTGGAGGGTTAAACCAATGGGGGCTGTGCATTTATTAGTAGTTTACTGTTTATTAAACAAGAACTCCAGATCCAAAAAGAACTCATTAATTGAAACCAAGTAGTGTTTAGTGAAATGGGAGCCTGTCAAAACTGGGGAGGACAATGGATCGGTCCAAATGTGAGTGCAAATTTTGTCTGGGAATTTTAAAGCGTGCCGTTTGTCATGGACAACGGATGTGCACCATACAAACTCCGTACGTCTGCCCCTGGGTGACAATAAAAAGCGCAGTTTATTATAAACCGAAGTAAAAACCAAAATTAAAAAAAAAAAAATCAACTAAAATCACAGTTTTGTCATTGGTATGTGGAGGTTGTTCCAAGGGCCCATCCAGAGCTCCTCCTCGTCGGACTGTGTGTGTTCACTGTGCGACTCCAAGGGCTCCTTGGCTTCCTCGTGGTCAACAACCGATTCCTGCTCGTCTGTGCTTTTCAGTTTGGCCGCCCCAGCCTTTGTCACTACATTTTCAGCCCCTATAGTAGAGGAAAAGGACACACTGCACGGCCTGGAGTTCATTTTGTCACCGGGGGATGGTCCCTTGGACAACGTGTTCAGCGGGACGCTCTCCTCGTGCGTCACCGCCAGCTTGTCCAGTTTCTTGAACTGCTTCCCCAGCCTCACTGGGGAGGTGACTTTTAAATTGTTGCCCAGGCAGGCGCGGCGGGTGCGCACCACGGAGCCGTTCTGGGCCACGTAGATGTTGCTGCTGCCGTTGGCTTGGAAGCCGGGGTTGCTCAGCCGGTTCCTCTGGCTGGAGTCGGGAGCGCTCTCCTCGCCCGTGGAGCTGGTCTCGTACTCCGGGTCCACCACCAACTTGATCCTCTTCTTCTTGGCCCACTGTTGGACAACAAAAAGAAATATCAGGGCAACACAGCAGTTCATTTCCCTGCCCTTTCTGTTCTTTGATTAATGACTCTCATCGGTTTCTATTAATTTTGCACCTTTCCCCTTGGATGTGCGCAGAAACGGGAGGGCCCTGAGGAGGAAGCTGCTGTGTGAGGGATACCTTTAAGGAACTACTCCAAGGTGTAAATTCTAGAAAGGTCTTGGAAGTTTTCTTCCCTTGCATTGTGAATTCTGTGCACTGGCCAGCTCTGCTTTGTGTGCATCACACATCCAGCAGAGAAAATCCTGGGACATACACCAGGGAAAATCTCAGGCGTGGCGCTGGCAAAACCGGCTGGTTACAAAAAAGAGCAGCTCCATGTAAGGCTTTGTGACTGTTCCAGACAGGTGGGATCAGTGGAAATGCTCAGGAAGATGGTGGAGAAACCAGGCTTTAGGTTTATATAACTTAAATATTTTTTCAAAGAATTAATGCACACAATTTCCACGCTGCTGTGACTCTGTAGTAGCAGTGATTGCTCTATGGTGGGCACACAACCCCCACTAGTTATTATAATTTATAATTGATCTTTTAAAAATAAATGACTCCTTGCACCACACTGAAAAGAGCTATTACCCTGCCTGAATGAATAATCCAAGCACTAAGATGCCATCACAGTTCACCCCCACTGCAAAACACACACAGGAACACAAGAAAAGCCAGTTTTTAGAGAAAAAATCATGCAAGATACAAATAGGTGATTACTCTTCAGCTTTTGAGAAGTTAAACTTGCTAAAAATTACTTGGATGCCTGTTTCATTGTTCCTCGAAAAGACAGACAATGTTCTTCACATGGATATATTCCAGTGGATCCATTCCTGCTTAGTTTAAGTGAGATTTACATGAAAACATTATGTGCAGCTACAATGCTGTGCTGTGTGGGGACACAAAGGGGCAGGTAAGTGACCATGGATTGAGTTTAAAGAGATGCTAAAATAAAATAAAATAAAAATTAAAATAAAATAAAATAAAATAAAATAAAATAAAATAAAATAAAATAAAATAAAATAAAATAAAATAAAATAAACCACTGTACTGTGATAGGCAGGAAAGGTAGAAGCAATCCATTTCCTTTCCTGACCCAGCTCACTTGGACCTCCTGCCTCAGCATTCCTGGCTTGTGCATCACTGGTGTTTGCAACCTGAATCCTGTGATACAGAAACAGCCCAATGCCAGCTCTCCCAGTCATCCCCTGCAGTTTTGGGAATGTTGTTTTGCTGCTATTCCACTTGTTCTCCCTGCAAACAGAGCTGACCTTGACAGCAGAGAACTCACCTGAAGATTAGCAAATGTGTTAATACAATATTACCATATAGGATGAAAACATGGATGATTTTTAGATCTTTACATCCTCCTCCTCATCATTTGCATCCTTCCCTAAATCCCATGTTTCATTGCTCCATGAAAAGAAAACTTTCTGTATTTATGACTGAGTATATCTATAGTGTGTGTATATATATATGTATGTATATTTATAGATATATATCCACAGGGCTGGAATTAGTTTGGTTTTCCACAGTTCTCTCCCAAGAACAGTGAAATGTTGGATCAATACACTTTGCCCTTTCCTTTTGGCTGTCTCCAGCCTGTCAACATTGCTTAGGAAAGACCACACCGAAGGCACAGCAAACAAAGCCACTCCTCACTGCAAACCATCACCTACTGTCACTCCTCTTTAAAAGGAGGTGGAATCACCCGTGGCCTCCGACTCTGTAACTCCAGTACCCGTGGCCTCATCTGACTGGGTCTGGCTGCTTTCCTGGGACACCTTTTTCCTGGTTTTCATTCCTTTCCTGTTGGTGTCAGAGCTCTGAGTCTCAGTTTCAGGGGACGTGGCAGTTTTCCTGGATGTGGCGCTACCTGAGCTTTTTGTCCCTGTGGTACCTTTGGAAGTCGCACTGATTTCACTGTCTAGGCAAGAAGATTCATTCTTACTGGCAGTGTCCTCCCTGTCACTGTCCTCTGGATCAGCCTCTTCTTCACTTTCCTCCTCACTGTCCTCACCAGGAGCAGCTGATTGTCCTCCTTTGCTCCCTCCAGCAGCAGCAGCAGCAGCTTTTGCGGTGGCAGTTTTAGAAACCACCTTGTTTGAGCTACCTGCTGTCTCCTCTGCCTCTTCCTCTTCCTCTGACACCTCTTCTATGGTGTCCTCTATTTCCACACTGGCAGAGGAGGTTTTGCTCTTGTAGCTGGATCCCGAGGTTTTCTTGTAGCTCGTGTCCCTGTCGCTACCCGAGGCAGTGGAGCTCACGGATTTCTGGCTGGAGCGTTTGCCACGGGAGCTGCCTGCCCTGCTTTTCACGCTGGACATTTCCGTGCTTCTCCTGCTGCTGGACTCACTGGTCCCTGACCTGCTGTAGGAGCTCCGTGTGGATGAGCTCTTGGACAGGCTGCCATCCTCATCACTCTCAGACTCTTCCTCATCATCATCCTCTTCTGATGACTCCTCCTCCGACCCGCTGCTGGAGCTGGATTCAGAGTCCTCATCCGAATCCCCCACATCTCCAGTTTCCTCATCCGAGTCCACGGTGCTTTCCGTGGCCTCATCCTGATCCAGGGTTATTTTCAAGTAGTCTTTGTCTTCTGACTCAGAGCTGCTGCTCTTCTCAGAGGACTCATCCGAGGTGCGCCTCCTCCTCCTCTTCCTCCTCCTCTCGTGGTCACTGTCCTCCTGCTCGCTTTCTGCCGTGATGCTGATTGAAACTCCTGACTTGGCTTCATCCCTTTCAGACCCTTCCTCTCCACGCGCCAAATCCTTGCCGAGGCCCTCCTGGAATTTCTTGGAGACGCTGATGCGCTTCAACACGTGGTTTAGTTTCCTCATGGAGGGCCTTGCATCTGTGGATTTCTGGAAGTAGCTTCCCCTGATCATCATGGGTTTGTCCCCATCCGCTTGGCGAGCCGACAGCAGCTTGGCATAGCTGGAATCTTTCCTACCTTTCACTTTCTGCATGATCATTGGGAATATCTTTGCTTTCTTCCACCGGGAGTGGGCAGACTCAGCTCTTCCTGGTTTGTGGGCACTGACTGCCACACGACTTATATGCATCACTCCCCTTAGCCTCCTTTTTCCCTGGCTGCTCCTAAATCCTCTTCCAGGACCACGGCTGAGGTCCATCCCAACACCTACAGGTCTCCCTTCCATTTGAGGCCCTGCTGCCTGGCTTATACCTCTGCTGGGAGGGCCTCTGACTGGACTCATGCCCTGAAAATTATGAAAATTAATTGATTACCACTTGAAAGAGAGTTATTGTGAAAACCTGTACCTTAAAAATAGGGTAGGAGAAGGTGCAACATTTATTTCCCAGCATCAAAATGAACTTACCTGTTTTAGAACAGTTTTCTTACCAAAATTATGGGAAATGGTTCAGAATTTTAGAGTTTAGAAAGTTCTAGATTAGGCTGGAAATGCACAACTACCTTACTCTGCAATGGGGTAAACACTGAAATGTTCTGTCTTCACATTTAATAATGGATTAAGATCTGGCAGTCAGGACAATTGGACTTTTTCTCAAAATAAACAATTACATTGACTTTCTTCTGATTGCCACTGACATTTAATTTTTTTTTTTTTAGATTTCACTGTGGACTCTATGACAAAGGAGTTTAGGTACTGCTTTTCTCAGTGCAAAGACATAATTTGTAGGAAGAATATTAGTAATAGACTTTTAGAGTCCAGGAGTGCTTTTAGCTGGAAGGGACCTAGGGCCACCCTCTGCCATGGACGCGGACACTTTCCAACATCCCCAAGGTTTGGTTCCTCCAAGCCCTGTCCAACCTGGCCTTGGGCACTGCCAGGGATCCAGGGGCAGCCCCAGCTGCTCTGGGCACCCTGTGCCAAGGCCTGCCCACCCTGCCAGGGAACAATTTCTTCCCAATATCCAAGCTAAATTTTCCCTTTTTTCAATCTTTAGCCATTCTTCTTGTCGTGTCACCACAGCTCCTGCTGAAGAGTCCTCCTCCAGCTTCCTTGTAGGCCCCTACAAATACTGGAATGTTTCTTTATTTGGTACTGATATAAAATGGAATTACCTAAGTCTAAGTGGATTTTTCTTTGAACTAAAACCAGATGTGGATACTAACAGAAACTCAGGAATTCTTTTCTGTGCCTAGAAAACAAAAGGAATTTAACGCTGACAAACTTTACAGGGCCAACAACGCTTAACACTGATCTCCACAAAACCTAATTCCAATCAATTCCAGCGTACAACTGGTGAGGTTTGGTGGCCCTTCAAGCTGTTTAAGAGACAGAATGATCCCTCCAGAGCTGGTTCCTTACCTCCTCGGCTGCTGGCCCGTGGGGACTGTAGTAGTAGCCACCGTCGCTCTCCACCACCACCTCGCCGTACTCGTCGTACATTCCCGACGGGGACAGCAGGCGCCGGCGGCTCCCGTACTGCGGCAGCTCGTACCTGCCAGGGACACCAGAGCTCCTCAGGACAGCCCAAATGTGCTCACACCTCTCACTACACTGCCAGCACTGCACTTGTTCACATCCAGAGCGATGGGAACGGCTTTCCTTGTTTTACTCCCTCCTTTTTTCCCTCAGCGGCAACCAAATCCCAGATATCCTTCTGCTCCAACAGCCACAAGGCCCTCAGGGTAACCTGAATTTTGGGGTCTGCTGGATCAGTCAAAACCTCTCTAAGGACATCAAGCTTCCTTTAATCCACCTGTTTTTTTGGGGGATCTTTATTAATAATCATGGCATGAAAGAGCAGCGTCCCTGGGATCAGTTCGGGGGAACGTCAGCAGAAATTCCTGAAGAGCTGCAGTCCAATGGGATTTATCAGAACAAGGCAGGATGGGGTTTCTTGAGGGAAATTTAAATGCCAAAAGACAGGATGGAGTTTTCTGAGGGAAATTCAAAAAGGTCACAGAGCAGGATGGGGTTTTTTGAGGGAAATTCAAAAGGCCACCAGGCAGGATGGGTTTTTTGAGGAAAATTTAAAAGGACAAAAGACAGGATGGGTTTTTGGAGGGAAATTTAAAAGAACACAGGGAAGTGTGGGGTTTTTTTTGAGGGAAATTTAAAAGGCCACCAGGCAGGATGGGGTTTTCTGAGGGAAATTCAAAAGGCCACCAGGCAGGATGGGTTTTTTGAGGAAAATTTAAAAGGACACAAGGTAGGATGGGTTTTTTGAGGGAAATTTAAAAGGCCACCAGGCAGGATGGGGTTTTTTTTGAGGGAAATTTAAAAGGCCACCAGGCAGGATGGGGTTTTTTTTGAGGGAAATTTAAAAGGCCACCAGGCAGGATGGGGTTTTCTGAGGGAAATTTAGATGCCTAAAGGCAGGATGGGGTTTCTTGAGAGAAAATTTAAAAGGCCACCAGGCAGGATGGGGTTTTTTTGAGGGAAATTTAAAAGGCCAGCGGCTGGCTGGAAACTGGGAGAAGAAAGAATTAATCCCTGAACACAGAAGAGAAGGAAGTGATAGAAATTAATCTTCCAGGACCAGAAATATAGACACTAAACCCAGCATGAGGGAAGGGATGTGCGCTCTGTAAGTGGAATAATGACATCCCTGAAGATGCAGGGAGTTATCACACACCCCCTTAACCTCTGAAAAGAGTTTTGTTGTTGGTTCACGCCTTTGTGGACACAAAGATTAAAGTAATCCTTAGGTGAAGGGAAGTCCCACGATTAACTGCTGGAATAATAAACATCACCAGCCTGGAAAAGCAGCACTTTCAGAAATAAAGAGGAAAAATGGAACTATACCCGTGCTCATAACTGTAGTAATCCTGGCCATAGTATTCCTGCCCTGGATCAATGCCAGACTCCATACTCAACTCCTGGAAAAGAGAAACGCTGATTGAATGCAAACAGTGTGAAAAAGGCCCAAATGTAATTACTGATTTTATTATTCTTTATTATGTAATTACTTCTTCTGACTGCAGAAATGATCCCCATCCTGTAGCACAAAAATACCAACGTCTCACATTTGCTCTTACTGCTTATTCTGGAAATAATTTTGGGCCTAAAAGATTGGAAATAGAAAGATTTGCAATTGCACTGCACAGCAAGGTGCTAAAGCTTCCAGCACCAAATGCTCAGCTCAGTTCCAGCTGCAGTAATCCATCAGCAGCTGACTGACACCAGCAAAAAATCAGCAGTTGGAGAGCAATGGAATCATTCTGCTGGGAAATCTGAAACTGTGGGATGAAGCCAGTGGGAGCCACTGAAAGATGCTCATGGGGGAAATCACAGATCCCAGAGTGGTTTGGAAGAGACCTCAAAGCCCATCCATTCCCACCTTTCACTCTCCCAGGTTGCTCCAAGCCCCACCCAACCTGACCTTGGAAGAGCCAAGATGCAGTAAATTTAAGGTATTTAATTAAAATAACATAACTGGGCTCACAATGCCAGAACTTTGCTTTTTATCTAAGAGCCAGGAGGAAAAAATTACCTGAGACAGACAAGTTCTTATTAGAAAATGATGTAAAAACCATTTCAAAACTTACAGAACAATTAAGAAATGAAAAATGGTTGTACCTCAGGTCTGAGAAGAGAAGGTCTCAGCAACTGCTGTTGCTACAAAAGAAAATGAGAAAGTGGTTAATTAGGCAGCAACAATTAAAGTGCAGATGATTGGTGTCTAAGATTAGTAAAAAATCCTGAAACCATTGGTCCTTTGGAACACTTTTATGGCAGGCAGCTGGAGACTTCCATCCCCTGTGAGAACACAGAGCTCCTGATGCAGTAAAATCCTTTCACAGTCCACCATTTATTTTGCCTAAATACAAAACCAACTTCCCAGTTTTTGTGGTGATTGCCTGACATATTTAACTCAAGACCTTCTGTCAGAGGACAAGAGAACTAAGTTCTATATCTAAATTAAGAGACACAAACCAGCTGTGCAAAGAAAAGGAAATAAAAATCAGCAAATATCAACCTTTGTGATAGAAATGTATTTTGGAGAACTTTCCAATTATCAAATGAGATTGTACTGAAGGAAACTCTTCTCCCTGTTATTCATTGCTGGAGAAAATGATACTGCAGGAGCAGCAGATCTCACAGAGCTGCAGGGAGGTCCTTGGAGCCCCATCCCTGCCTGGCAGGTGATTGGGTGTGACACTGGAAAACACATCAGGGTGGAGGGAATTCCCTGGGAAGCTCCTTCTGGCAGCTCCTTCAGCAGCAATCTCTGAGTCTGGAGGTCACACTCCTGCCACAGTGCATCTCAGCCCCCAGGGGATCTACGGCTCATGACCTCTTGAAGCACTTTCAATTTCTGGTCTCTAAAGCACTCAGTACCCAGGAGTTCCCCACACACAATCCCAGACTGGGTTAGGTTGGGAGGGAATTTCAAACTCAGCTCATCCCACCCCTGCCATGGCAGGGACACCTTCCACCATCCCAGGCTGCTCCAAGCCCCAGTGTCCAGCCTGGCCTTGGGCACTGCCGGGGATCCAGGGGCAGTCCCAGCTGTGCCAGGGCCTGCCCACCCTGCCAGGGAACAATTCTTTCAAATATCCCACCTAAATTTCCCCTGTGCCAGTCTGAACCCATTCCCTGTGTCCTGTCCCTCCAGTCCCTGTTGCAGGGTCCCTCTCCAGCTCCCCTGTGTCCCTTCAGGCCCTGGCAGGAGCTCTGAGGTCTCCACACACCCTTCCCTTCTCCAGGCTGAGCATTCCCAGCTCTCCCAGCCTGGCTCCACAGGGAAGATGCTCCAGAGCCCTCAGCAACTCCATGGCCTCCTCTGGACCTGCTCCAACAGCTCCATGCCCTCCTCTGCAGAACAGTGCACAGATTTCCAGGTGGGGTCTCACAAGAGCAGAATAGAAGGGGAGACTCCCCCAGTCCCCTGCTGCCCACACTCTTGGGCTGCATGGGAAAAGCACACTGGTATAATCAATATTTGAAAGGTAATTGGGCTCTGGCCTTACCTCTTGCTGTGCATATCCTCGCCTAGAAGTCAGAAAAAGACAAGAAATAAATTAGTATAATGCTGTGAGCCTGCACAAAGATGCCCATTACCATTCTCACTGGAGAGGGGTGAAAGAGAATGTAATTAGAAATATAATTAGCATGGAAAGAAATACATATCTCTAATACCAAATATGTTTTTCTTTGGGTTTGCTCTGGACACAGGGATTGTTGCATGAGCAAGGCTGGAGATGCTTTGGGATCTTTGCCTGCTTTAGATTGTGAATGGATGAGGAGAAATCCCCAATCCCCATGAGCCAGAGCATCCAGAGAGACTCAGCACAGGGAAAGGGGGATTGGGAGAGGCCCTGTCCCTTCCCCTCCCTGCTGTGCCACCATCCACAGAGGGACTCTGTTCCCTCACACGTCTGCTCAAGCAGTGAAACAACTTCTCCTTCTCCAGGACTTTCTGTATCCAGCAGGAATTACCCTGGAGCATGTATTACTAATTTCCTGTACCAACATTATCATTCCAATTACACCTTTCCTAACATTTGCTCAGTGTGGGGGAGGTAGAACCCCTTTTTTTTTTTTTTTGCTATCTGCTGTTATTTTGCCACAGATTTTGTGCTTCTGATCTTATGGGGAATTTATTGTTGGTTTAATTAATTTCCTTGGAGCCATTCCTGGGCATGACCAATGCATTTATGTCTGTCAAGTTCTCTATTTTCATGTTTTGTGCCTGAAAATTGAAATGGTTTCGGCAAAACTAGAGAACAAAAATTTAGGCCTTGGAATTTTTCTTAAGGATAAGTCTGGATTGCTTTTATTATGGTTTTTAAGAAGGAAAGGGTAAATGCTCAAAATTATGTTAGGCTTAACCTAGGACACAGCCAGCAGTCATGGGGAAGTCTTTAATTACACTAAATAAATAATAAAGACCAGAGAAATCCTTTTAATTCTTTAATATCCCCATCTCTAAATCTTCCTATTAATATTCAGCAGATGGAATTGATTATCAGCATTGAATTAATGCTGTCGCCCATATAATATAAACCTCATGGCCAGCTGAAATGAAGATTTATCATCCAAAGATGATCTGTGACTCTTCAAAGCCCACTTGAGGGGGGCTGGATTTAGTTCCCATATCGCCTACAACAATCTTCAGACAAAGGAGGTCTGAGGAGAAGGAAGTCTATTACTCTTAATTGCACTACATTGCAGATTAAAGGCATAATATGAGTAATTCTAATTAAATTTGGAATTCAACTTTCGTAAAAATAGCACCATGCTGAGTTTTGCTGATATTTCTTGAAAGTTTTGTGTAGCTATGATTAGAAGGAACGAAAAGTCCCCAAAAGACATAAAACACCCATTTCATTCACTACAGCACAAGGATCAATTCTGGCACAGAGACAAAGGTCAGGACAACATCATTTGTTTCCAGGAAGGAATGAAAGCTCTCCATAGAGGGAGGGATTGCTTCTGGGAAATGCTCTCAGCCAGACTTCACTGCAGTCTGGGAATCTTCTGTGTGGAATGGGAAGTAAGGCCATGGAGCCTGTGAGGATGTGGGGTAACAGGACAGCCAGAACACATAGCTGGTACTCAAAGGGAGAGACAAAGCCAGAATGAAGTCATGTGGACAAGATGTCCCAACATTTCCCTGCTAAAAGAGGTTAGAGGAACTGGGATTTGCCTAAAGCAGCATTTCCCTAATTCCTGGCACCCCAGCAGGCATCTGCTCTTCCACAACTTCAATCTCTTTTCATATCAAAAGCAAAATTATCATAAATCCCAAACACTACAGATACTCCTCAGAGGAAACAACTACTTATCAGTTTGCCCTGGCTCCTCAAATGAAGATTTTCCTGCAGTTCAGAGCTGGAACTGAGGACAAATTGGGAAGGAAGATGACTAATGATAACACTGCGGTTCAATTCCAGCTTTGCATGGAAGAACTCTCCACTGATGCCACCTCTGCTCCTGCTCAGGACTTGGCCCCGTCAAGGTGACGACGAAAGGATGAGAGATACAGACAGGGTCACAGAGGACCCCAACTGACCAAATCAGGCAACCTGGAAGGGCTAAATTATATATAAATATAATGTTCAACTTGCTACCAACTCCTATACTCTAATCCTTTGTAGCACTGCAGCACCATGGAATTGTGGAATGGTTTGGGTTGGAAAGGACCTTTATGCTCATCCTCTTCCACCTCCACCCACTTTCCACTGTCCCAGGCTGCTCCAAGCCCCATCCAACCTGTCCTTGGGCACTGCCAGGGATCCAGGGGCAGCCCCAGCTGCTCTGGGCACCCTGTGCCAGGGCCTGCCCACCCTGCCAGGGAACAATTCCTTCCCAATATCCCATCTAAATCTCTCCTCTTGTGGTTTAAAATAATTTCCCCTGCACCACCCAGACATCTCAATGGACAGAATTTCCCTGGCACAGCTTCTTTCCCAGTCTAACAGAGTAAGTTTTTAAACAAAGGCTGTGAAAAAAATGCAACAAAGGCTGCATTATATCCAGAAAAATTAATCCAGTTTTGTAAAGTTTTAAATTTCATGAAGATTTCCAGAATGAGAAAGTAAATGCACCCCATCAGCCAAGACCCCCTCCCAGACTGTTCTGAAATGATGAAATTAAATATTCAAACTGGAGTTTCTGTGTGATGTCCACTCTTTCTGCTTAAGGAACATCCCAATTAATTGTACCCAAACTGAACCATTGGAGTTTATGCTGTGAATGACTAAACACCTCCACTTTTGCTATGTGACCTTACACACCCCAAAATCAGGTCCTATTTGGGTCATAGCTCACTGGGGATGTAAAGATTTGCATGACAGCCACTGTTTATAAGCTCTAACATGGGAATTGATTACTTAAATCTAAATTTCTGTCTTTGGGGTTGAACCAGTCTGAACATGAGCAGCCCAATAATTTTTCATGCCCATCTCTGCCCTCTTCCCACTGTCCCCTCACCAGGAGCATGGCTGGGACACAGAAGGGAACATCTAAGCCATATTCCCACTCTGGCTCTTCAATCCTAAAAATTTTCTACCTAATAGATGCTGAGCTTTGGGGATATGATTAAAACATTGCAGTCATGCCACCTTTGGAGAACTGAGCATCAAAAATGTGCACATCTCATAAATGACACAGATTCTGTAACTGCAAAAATAGGACCATAGGATAATCCCTCCCCTCACATATTTAGCTGCTCCTACACCTACCTTGATCCTACAACCTATCCCAACAAGGGTTTTAAGTAAAGGAAAATTCTAATGGATCAGCAGAACTTGTGGGATGGAGTTCATGGAGTTTGGCACTGGGAGAAAGAGAAACTACCTTAAGCAGCTTTTGACTGAAGCATCCACACATGTCCTAACTCCAGACTTCAAAAACAAAACAGAAAAACAACCCAAAAAAACCAAACAGGAGAAAAGAGAAAAAGCCAAGCACCATGAAAATGTTGAGTCTGATAAACAGTCTGATAAAGAATTAATTACCTTTTTGCTCAGAATGACAACGTTGATACTGAACTGGAGTTTTAGTTTTGCTTCATTAGGTAATATCTGCCTTTCCCAAGATGGTTTTTCAAAGTTGTCATATTAAACTTTTTAGATTTTGGCAAAGGACTGAAAGGAAACTTGCAAGCTGAACCAAACATTTAAATGCTCAAACCATTTTTTCAAGGGACAAGCTAATTTACCTTATATATACATTTATAACTGACATACTTTTGTAAATGTAAACATCTGATTTAGACCACGGCGAGCAAAAAAGCTGGTAAGTAAATCCGCATTATGTGGATTTTTACAAGTACTTGGAAACCCTTCACCTGGTGACACTAATCAGAGTGACTTTATTACAATTTAAGTGAGATGTTTCAGCTCATGACAGACCAGCATGGAAATTAAAGAGAGACAGCAACAATATGCACATGCAAAATCATAAAAAACAAACAACAAATGCTTTGTACATGAAAGAAATTTAGAAAATATAAATTTTTCACATGCAGTTACAATATAAAAAAAGTGCAATGGAAGGCAGAAGATGGAGAACAGGAGTGGGGACACAGCTGAATTTGCTGAGAAACCAAGAGCAAACCCTTCTTCTGACTGCAGACTGGAACTGAGCTGCCAGAAAATGTCAGTAGAGCAGAGCCCATGGAGCAGGGAGATGCAGTATGGAATTATGGAATGCCTGGGTTGGAAGGCACCTTAAAGCTCATCCCATGGGCAGGGCCACCATCCCAGGCTGCTCAAGGCCCATCCGATAACCCGGCTCACCAAAGCTGAGCCTGCTACTCCCAGGCCTTCCTTGCTTTGATGCCCAATGTGTGGCAGAAGATTCCTTCCAGGTGGGGAAAAATTCCTTCCTTTTTATGGGCAAAGCAAGAGATTCCAATCACAGCTGCAGGAAAATCTGACTGACGTTACCTACAGTGAAGGCTGCTTAAAGAAGTATGGAGCCTGCTGCCGTCTATGCCACATCCTTGGGTAAAAATGGACAGTTTCCCCCAAGAATTTCCAGGAGACAAAGAACCAGCAAGATGCAGTTCTGAGAAAACAACTTGGAGAATTGTATTTTACATCACAAATTTCCGAGCGAACGGGAAGGACAGCGTCTCTCCATTTGGGATCGGGAGTGGGTAAAGTCATGTACAGCAGAGAAAAGGGGGAAAGTCAGGATTTCTGGAGAGTCTGAGGCAGATACTGTGTGCTGCATTAGAGTCTTCCCACTCAAAAAAAAAAGCAGGGAACATCCACCTGTGAGCATTACAGAGCTGTCGACTGGGAGGGGAAGCGTTTCTCCAGCTCCTCCACTACACAGCTCAAGTTCCCATTCTGCTGGTTGTGCTCGGCTGCGGCTTCTGGAGTTGGGAGCTCCGGGGTCGGGGCTGGCTTGAGCTTAGGGACGTGCTTGGGCAGCAGGTGGTTCTTGTCTATTTGGCTGTACATGTTGGCCACCGACTTCTCGATGGCGGCCAAATTCTGAATGTTTTTAAGAATTCCTTTGAGCTCCCGGCGGGGAGGAGGCTCTGGCACTGCGGCCGGGGCGGGGACAGCTGGCTGTTTGGCAGGGGATTTGGAATGCTTGGCAGGGGACAGGAGCTGCGTGCTAAGAGGAGATGGAGAGGAAGAAGAGGAAGAAGAAGAAGAAGGAAGAGAAACTGCGGGTGGAGGCGGAGGATGTGGTGGCAACATAGGAGGGGATGGAGGTGGTGGTGGCAGTGGAGGTGGCAGCTGTGGAGGAGGGGGTGGGGGCATTTTAGGCGGATCTGGAATGCTTTCTACATTTTCTTTGGTCTGAGGAGCTAGAAAACTTTGGCAAAGTGGTTTCTTAATCCTAGAAGATGGAGGAGTTGGCTTGCGAGTCGGTGGAGGAGAATGTTCCTGAGGGTCGTCGTGGTGAGTGACGATTACAGCGGGGACCACGGCGGCCTCTGCTTCAACTCCTTCAGCACAGGGTGTTGGAGAGGACAGAGGGGAGGAGCGAAGGTGGGGAGAAGCCACCACGCTTTTGGGAGACTGCTCTGGCACACTCTCTCCCTCCTGGACGCTGGCGCCGTGCGTGGGTGACCGCGCGGATTTCACCTCGGGAGACCTCACTTGCTTCATCTCCTGCAGCGCCTCAAACTGCCTCGCCTTCTCCTTCACAGTCAGCTTGGGGCCACTGATCTTTTGGAAGAGTGGGCTGCTGACATCGTCACTGCTATCGGGGTTTTCAGCTCCTTCCTCCTTGCCCGTGAGTCTCTGCTGCTGCTGCCACTGGATGGGGTCCATGATCACCGGCCTAGCCAGGGACCCTGACATGTGTCTCCTGGTCAGGTGAGTGGGCACTGTCCACGCCCGGTGGCTGCCCCCAAAAGAGGCCTCTCTCCAGGCCAGTCTTGAAGGAGAAAGAGTATCTAAAGTATCATTCCTTTTCCGTAGGAACCCAGAGGCAGCGGGGCTTTGAGGGAGACCTTCCACGTACAACGGGTTTCGGGTCGTTAGCGGGTTCTCATCGGACAAAAAAGTGATGTTACTCGAGGATTTGGGGAGGTTATTGTTCAGGGATCCATTGATATTGGATTGCTTGTGAGCCTCTATAGCACGGGAAGCAAAGCTGCTTATAACTCTCTGTCGGTCTCCTTCTTCTAAGACTGACTTTTTTCCCCTGCTTTGTTGGAAATGGTAGAGAAGAAAAAGACTTGAAAGAAAAGAAGATAATCACGTGTGAGGAAACATGCATGGACATAGGTACTTATGAGAGAGAGAAAAAAAGAACTTATGACATGAATCAGAGCCATTAAATCACTTCTAGCAAACTACAACCCAACAGCAGGAGCACATCTACTACTGGCAAGACATTTACTTTTGCATCTTCTTTAAGGGGGAAGGAAGAAAAATTAAAACAAGCTGCTGCTTGCTTTAATTTGAAGCTGCGTAGCTACTTGGTGAGTTCAAAAATAAATTCACTTCTTGTTAAAAAAAATCTCTTAGATTTCAAAATTATCAGTTAATATTGCGGCCTATCACCTAGAAACACTAAACACCACAGAAGTATCAATATGTGAATGAATTTTATCACTTGTGTGTATGAATTTCATCTCTTCATCAGGTTGAACCCAATGGAAAGCCCCTGTGGTTGGGTGACATCAAATTTCTACACCAAAAGTGGGAGGTCTCACCACTTTCTGGACTGCATCTATCACCTCCCAGTCCCTCATTAACTTCCTCTCTCAAATATTTTTAATACCACAACCTTCTGAGCAGATTTGAAAATAAACAGTATTTTAAAAGGAATAGCCCCAGATTGCCTGGTAGAAAAGTGCCCTTTGAGCCCTATTTTAAATAATGCTCACCACAGGCTGAAATGAGATTTATTTTTCTCTCAAACTGTGAGAAATTTAAGATTTGGACCTGTGTCAGGCAGAGCTAAAGTACAACATGAGTAGCAATCTTATCTACCTGCACAAATTAAAATATAATTTAAGATTGGTTTTAGAGATGCCCAGTATTTTCACACAAGTTCTGAGTTGAAAATTCTAAGCCTTGTCTCTACCAAAATTTGAATTTTGGTAAAAGATTAGGAGAAAAAAAATTGAGTTTTCCATGATTCTGTGAATGCTGAAAGATAAAGTTTTTGGATCTCTTGGTCACATTGTTCTGTGGGTTTTGGTGCTGTTGTTTCATATCTCAGAAAACATGACCAAATCCAAATTAATAAAAAAATTAATCTCTGGTGGTTAAATAGTCCCTAGCAAAATTGGAAGGGAAATTTAAATACCTAGAAGGAGTTAATTAAGAGATCTTCTTTTTCCTCTAAGTTATTTAAGATGTAAAAGTCCCCTGAGGGTTGTATTTAATAACAAAACACTTTTGTTTCTTAACTTTTGTTTCCTGTTTTGATCAGGGGACCACTCAGGCAGGGAATGCTCAGCTTCCCAATGTTCCAGGGAGCCAGGAGGACTGGAATTCCCACACTGAACCCAGGGATCATTCTCCCAGGGATCATTCTCTCATTTTTGTTTTGAAAAACACACCCAGCAAAGCACCACAAAGTGAATAAACTCTCCCCAAGCACTGCAGCTTGCCAGAGCTGAGTGTGCCTAAGGCTTCCTCTGGGCTGAATGAATAAAAATAATTTACTTGACACTAATTAGAGAATCCCAGAAGGGTTTGGATTGGAAAAGACCTTAAAGATGACCTAACTCCAACTCCTTGCCATGGCAGGGACACCTTCCCCTGTCCCAGGCTGCTCCAGCCTGGCCTTGGGCACTGCCAGGGATGCAGGGGCAGCCCCAGCTGCTCTGGGCACCCTGTGCCAGGGCCTGCCCACCCTGCCAGGGAACAATTCCTCATTCCCAATGTCCCATCCAGCCCTGCCCTCTGTCACTGGGAAGCCATTCCCTGGGTCCTGTCCCTCCATCCTTTGTCCCAAGTCTCTCTCCACGTTTCCTGTAGCCCCTTCAGGCCCTGCAAGGCCCCAATTTGGTGACCCCAGAGCTTCTCCTCTCCAGGTGAGCAGCCCCAGCTGTGCCAGCCTTTCCTCCCAGCAGAGCTGCTCCATCCCTGTGCCCATCCTGGTGCCTGCCCTGGGCTCTCTGCAGCAGCTCCAGCTCCCTCTATAAAGGAACTCTGAATTCTGAAGCAGCCAACTTTGAGGTCAGCCAAGCATTGCATCTACGGAGAGGCGAGAGAAGCAGCGACTGAACTTGAAGGAGCCCCTCCAGCAGAAGGCTCATGCAAGGTGCCACCACCTTTCTGCCACTGGAGCAGATTATTTCAAAAGTTCCTCAGCCTCCTCCTCACTCCACATGAGGTCTCTGGGAGCTGAGGTGACCCCACCATGTTTTTCTGTTTGTGTGGAGCTGTTTCCATCACTGAGGACCAGAGAGTTCAGGTTCTGCCAGCTCAAAGACTCCACAGTCCTTGCATGGGATTGGAATTAACAGCCAAGGAAGGTTTAAACCCAGCCATAAATCCATGAACTCCCAGCAAACCTCTCTGTTCATGCACTCAGTGTTGGTTTGGCTTTTTCTGACCCTTTGGCTTTAGAAATAATGCCCTTCAAGTTCAGCAATCACCCCTCCTCTCTCTGCTTCCAACAAGAGGGATAAAGAAGCACAGAAGTATTGCAACTTCCCAGTAAATGTCTTTTCTGCTCAATGGACAAATAAAATATGAACTTCACCTTGCAAGGTTGGATGGGAATTGCTGGAAGGAAAATTAACTAATTTCTACCAGCTACAAATATTAAGAATATGAAATAAGCTTACTTACTGATGCCTAAGGATCCAGAGACAGGGAAAAATGAAAATGGTGAGACAAGGCAGATTTAAAACTAAAGAGCTTTGTTCCATTTCATTTGCTATAAACACCAAAGAAAGCAAACAAGACACTGCAAATGAAAGATGACAGACTTAGGACAACTAAAACAGGGAACAATGTACTAAAACTCATGAAAAAATGGCAATAAAAGACTTTTCCCAAATAAGAATTTCCTAAGGTATACCTGTGCCCTGAAGGAAAATATTTAATGGGGAAGAAAAAGTTAATTTGTAATTATATTTATTGAAGCCTGTTACTTTCTTGCAAATCCTATGGATTTTGATTTATCTTTGAAGGATTTTTGTGTTTAATCAGTTCCTCAGCATGACAGATAAGCCTTGGTTGTATGCAAAGACATCTGAGAGAAAATATTCCAACTACAGCACCTTTTTGGTGCAATGAAGACTATTTTTTGTCCAAATTAACATAAAGCTAAGCCTCAAAGTCAATACTGTAGATCTAGGAACTGGCACTTCTTTGGGGCAGTGCTAAACCCCAAAAAACCTTTGCAGATAAAACAAAGCCCAATGAGAATTTTTCTGGGTTTAGCATCACACAATTAATTTCAGCAGAAATTTGGTTTAGTGTAAAAAAAGATGAATTTTATCCAGATGGCACCTCCCTGCATAAGGGTACAGATGTGACTCACAAACTGATGTGCTCCCATTCCAAAAAAACTTTATTTCACACGTTTTTCCTCCCTTCCTGCCCAAGCATAACTTGACAAAGGCAAAAAGCAAAAATTCAGCCCTTAGGAGAAACTATTCCTACTCCCAGCACTTTTTAGCCTCCTATTTACCCAGAAAAGCTCAAGCCCTGGAATTATTCCACATGAAGAGACTGCACCCAATTGTACGAGAGTTAAAGCTCTGTCATGGCCCTGTAACATTTTAAAAACTCCACCACATCAGCTGGAAAATTTCAACTTTCTGGGCAAAACAAATCATGATTGAAAACGGAGCAACCTTCATTTCCACCATCCCCTCACTCCCTACCTGCTCAAATATTACTCAAGCTGGGCTCTTCAGCACTCCTTGGTTTTCAAGTATAAACAGAGATGAAGAAGTGTGGCAAAGCTTATCAAACAACCCCCCCAATATCACACAAATAATAATTGGATGGAATATTTTCCCACTGAGAGTTAAATTGTTATTGGAGTCCATCAACTTCAGGTTTACAGAGGCATGAAAAGAGTGGCAGCCTTGCAAGATTATTATTTTATGAGCATGTAAGAGGTAAAAGATGAGTTTATTAAGCTACCAGGGGTTTCTCTGCTTTGATAGTTCCCTTAATTTCAATATTTAAACAGGTTTAAATTTAGAACAAAAACCCCCAACAAACCGAACACATCTTACTACAGGAAATGAAGACTTTGGGGCAGCAATTTTCAGGGAATTATCATTTCAGATGAGTGCAATGGATAAGAATAAATTTTATTGGATGTGTTTAACCAACAGCTTTGGAAAACGTGGAGTGCTGGCCTGGATATGCCAAGGAATCCAATCCTGGCAGCAGTGACCTGCTGCAGGATCTTGCTCTTAGGAAAACCATCTGGTGAGACCATTTTGCCCACCTAAAGTCTGTTAAAGGTTCTCCCATGCATAACAAGAAGATTAAATTGGTTTTTTTCCTCCTTCCAGAGCCAGCCTATGCCTTTTCTGGCTGTTGGAGAACCCCAAGCAGCTGGGGAATGAAGGAAACCTTTTGCACAGAGACTGCATGAAGCGGTTTTGTAGAATCCCAGAATAGTTTGGATTGGAAGGAACCTTCAAACCCATCCCATTCCATGAGCAGGGACACCTCCCACTATCCCAGGTGGGCCAGGGCAGTGATTTTCTGGATCTGGATGGATCTCAAGGAATACTCACATGGTGCTGTCTCCAAGCTCCTCATAGAGGTTGTTGGCCGCGGCTCCAGCCGGTTTTCCTGCTGGCAGAGCCATCTGGATCCTCGCAGTCTTGGCACACTCAGCCTGTCGCCTTTGGAGAGCCACGGGGGGAAGGAGAAACACTCATCAGAAACACCCCAAAACATGCCCCAAAGAAAGCCAAAATGGGAGGTTTTCTATGTTCTTGGCCTGTGGTTAATAAACATCCCCTGGATTTTGTCTTCATCAAAGCAACAACATGATTATCTTCTCCTGGATTTATCAGTTCCCAGTTCTGTTTCGGTGGAATCCCAGAGCTTCCCAGATCCCAGCATGGTTTGGGGTGGGAAGGACTTTAAATCCCATCCAGTGTCACCCCTGCCATGGCAGGGACACCTTCCACTGTCCCAGGCTGCTCCAGCCTGGCCTTGGGCACTGCCAGGGATCCAGGGGCAGCCCCAGCTGTGCCAGGGCCTGCCCACCCTGCCAGGGAACAATTCCTCATTCCCAATATCCCATCTAAATCTATTTATTTCAGTTTGATGCCAGTTCTCCTTGTCCACTTCCAACTCGTTTTTTCTTAATGGAGTTGGCTGGGAAATTTCTGTTCAATGAATGGTTCATCCCAAAAAAAAACCCTTTTTAAAAATTTTTTTAAATTATTTTTTTTAAATGGAGTGAAATCACAGTGGAAAAAAATTCTGTTCCCTGGCTAGAAAACAAAGCTCCTCGTGTGGGGAGCACCACCAGGGTGATGTGCCTGATATACCCCAATGACACCGAGTAGCCATAAAAATAAATCACTTTTAAACTCATCACACCAGGAGTTCAGGAGCAAGTTGACTATAGGGATGTAAAAACCCCTTATATTTAATAAATGTTGAGAACAAAATTTGTCAGTATTCCTGTGCAAGTTGGAAGAAGCAAAGCTGGAAATAAATACTTACTCTTTGAATCTGTTTGGTTGCAAAAAAAAGAGATAAAAAGGAAGGTTAAATAAATTCTGCTTCCAACAACTGCCCATAACAGTGACTCTAACAGGAGTAATAAACTACAGGCTACTTAATTATTCCACACATCAAATTCCAGAATTAATGACTTGTTTAAAGAATCAGAACTTCCAGAGCTGAACAGCATTTGGCTGCTATTTTTGATCCCCTGGAAACAATTCTGTAGTCAGCAGAAATACGAATTACAGCAGGGAATGAAAACAAGACATGAAAACATGAATATTTCTCCAGTTTTTTCTTAAGCAGGCACATTTTTAGACTTGTTTCTTTATATTGAATTATTTTTATATAACAATATAAATAATGTAATTATTATTTTATTTATATTTTCTCATCTTAGCATATTTCAAAACTGTATAAAAATACTTTTAATAATGAAGGAGCATCATTTTTGGTTATTATTTAGAAGATGCCATTCTTTTGTGATTATTAAATGATAAATAATTTATAAGTACCTTACAGGTTTGTGCTGGATACTGGATTTCAAAGGAGTCATTTTTAGATTTATTACTAAAGAAATATTTTAGGAAAAATCACGAGATTCCTTTGGAAAAGGAGTGAAAAAGGCTGGAATGCAAAAACAAACCACGAGTCTCAGGATTTTAATTTAACTCTAAAATTCCTTTCATTATCTTTGGATAATGAAATATAAAAATACAATAAAAATACAATTTTATTTGTATTTTATCTGAATAAAAATACAATTTATTTGCAATGGGCTGCTATAAATCCAACTCCAAGTCAGATGTCTAGATTGGAGAAATGGGATTTTTGGATGAAATTAATTTAAGCAGATTCCTGAGAGCTCCTAAAAGAGATTGATGATGTTTAGATAATCTAACAGATGCCAAGGAAACATGAGGCTGCTTCATTTCTTTAAGGAATCTGCAATTCAGATAATAGCCACCAATGAATTGCAAGATGAACTGACTTATGGAAGCAATTCTTCCACAGAGTTCTGGGAGAGGAAGAGCAGTTTGGGAATGATCTGCCATCCCAATGGTGCAGGAGTTGGTCAAGCTCTTCCAAACTTCTTTAAAAGGCTTTTTCTCCTCATCCAAAATGGAGAAAAGGGGTGTGAATATGATCATTAATTAAAGAATAAATCTTTGAATAAACGGATTTATAAATCTATGAACCGGAATATGATGTATATGTAAATTTGTGAATATGATTTTTAAGTAGAGAATAAATCTATGAAAATATATAAAAATAAAAAAATGAATAGATATGGAGCCTTTAAGTCCAAATGCAGTGATCTTAAATATGAGTAGACCTGAAAATTTTAGTTGAAAGGAACTTGTTGCAGATGTTAATTTGAATTAATTTATCAGCCAATTACTGGAATCTCTTCAGTGTAAAACAGGCAAGAGGAAATATCAAAAAGTATCTCCAATGTTGCCCTACAATGGTAGAAAACCAACTTTCCAGGAAACATTTGCAATTAAGAAGCTGGGAAAAAATATTTTAGGATTTAAGCAAAAACACTGGAATCCTCTAATTTGATTTGATTAATTTCTTGAAAAAGCACCTTTTTCCTAAATATCTTTTATTTTTGGAATGGAATTCAGGTCTGATTCTTCACTTCTGTGTCCAGCACCTGGATTTTGAGCTGGTGTTTTGGCACAAAAATCCTGCACCGTGTTAGGAAACCCAGGATGCACTTCCCACGTTCATCACACCAAGCATTGAGCAGCCCTTGTGGTGAGAAGGGGATTAAACCCAGAAATTACTTTATATACTAGAAATCTATATAATACATACAAAATATTATAGAAATACGCAATAATAAATAGAAAGTAATCTTGAAAAGATGAGTAATTGTTGAAGCAGCTCTGCTATGAACTGCAGCACCTCTACTAGGACATTACAAGCCCTGGGATGTCACTGTCATATCTTCTGAAAAATCCTCTTTGCCCAGGATTCTTCTCCTGGGAAGCAGAGAAGCCTCAGAGGAAAAGAAAAACAATATTATCTCATTTGCTTCTCCTGTGTTTTGCTGCTCTGGAATGTGGTTTGGAGATTGTTTATCCAACACGTGGATTGTTTTGGCTCAATGACCAATCACGGTCAGGCTGTGTTGGGACTCTGGAAGGAGTCAGGAGTTTTTCATTAGTATCTTGTTAAGCCTTTTGTAAGTATCCTTTCTCTATTCTTTAGTATAGTCTAGTGTTGGGAAGGATGAAAGTTGGACAAAAAAGTCTCACAGATATGAGGCTTGGCAGAAAGATTTTTAAATGTAGAGTCTGATGAAGGAATAGAGATGGAAGCAAGTTTTGATATAGAAGACAAGAATTGCTCAGCCAGTCTTACTGGCTAACCAAGGAGGCAAAGGGTGTGTTAGTTAGAAGGGGTTTTTATGGCTTAGAGCAAAGGATAAACCCACCCCAAACAAGATGTTTTTACCAAGCAAGAAGGTAGCACAGGCAAACAAGCCTGCTGATGTGGCAAGTAGAAAAAAGGTCTCAGAATTTTGCACTGCAAGAAAACTGAATAACAACTTCTAGCTTAAACTGTAATGCACTAACTTTTAGTGATTGGAGAACAGTAACATGAATATGGTAATTATAGGAGTTATGATAGGCTATGGGTAAAAGTTAAGGTATAGATTGGTTCTACTGTGTTAAGATGCTCAGCAAAGAAAAGTATATAATGCACTGTAACCAAAGGAAAAGTCTATAATGCATTGTAACCAAAAGAAAAGCATATAATGCATTGTAACCAAAGGAAAAGTCTATAATGCATTGTAACCAAAGGAAAAGTCTATAATGCATTGTAACCAAAAGAAAAGTCTATAATGCATTGTAACCTAAACTCAGGGTCTCCAGGCCTGCCTGCAGCTGGAGCTGACAGCTGTAGGCACAGGCTCTGTCACCCACAACCCTGGACTGCTGTAACCTCTTGGATGGAATAAACTGCATTTTGGAGAGCTGCCTGGAGTCCCACATCCCTCATTTCAGCTCTTACAGTTTAGTATAGCATTCTTTAATATAATATAGTTCCATAAAATAATAAATTAGCCTTCTAAGAACATGGAGTCAGAGTGATCATTTCCTCCGGCCATGGGGGACCCCAAAACCACTCAACTGGGAGAGGAGGAGGAGGAGGAGGAGGAGGGTACTCACTGCCGGTAGCTGACCATGACGATGAGGATGGCTGGCATGCAGCACAGGATGATGATGACAGCCAGGGCCAGCAGTGCCCCCTCCGTGTAGCCCACGGCCTGCGCCTGCTTCTTCACGTTGGCCACCACGTCCGGCGTGCGGATCTCCAGGATTCGCCCGCCCTGGCCCAGGTAGGGCTGGAACTCCTTGTTGATATCCAGCAGTTTGCCATCCAGGAACCTTTTCAAGGGCACAAAAACACCCCGCTCTTAGGGTCAAATTCACGAAGAGAGTTTTAATTAGGGCAGGTTAATAGCCCAATAAAGCACATGCGTTGTCTTTGTGGGCTTTGGGATAGTGGCAATTCCCTGTAAATCCCAGTGCCAGGGACAATTCCAATGTACTTAACACCAGGACACAGTTTGAACACTGAAAGGGAGGGGTGAGCTGAGCTCATCCTGATTTCCAGGGGCACAAAGTTCTTGCTGGCATCACAAAGGCCTTGCTTTGTGCTTTTCCTTCTCTGCTTTGATCCTGAGGAGCAACCAACCCTTCCTGGACTGTCAGTGTCACATTTTTTGAAAAATCCCTTTGCCAGGATTTCTTCTCCTGGGAAGCTGAGAAGGCTCAGAAAAGAATGAAAACAGTAATTATCTAATTGCTTCTCCTTCTCCCTGTTTTGCTGCTTTGGAATGTGGTCTGGATATTGTTCACCAACTGGTCAATGTTTGATTGGTTTCATGTGAATTTGTTTTATTTAATGACCAATCACTATCAGCTGTGTTGGACTCTGAGGAGTCACAAGTTTTTCATTATCATTCTTGTAAAACCTTCTGTCTGTATCCTTTCTCTTTCTTTAGTATAGTTTAGTATAGCCCTTTTTAATACAATATACTATAATATCATAAAATACTAAATCAGCCCTCTGAGAACATGGAGTCAGATTCTCATCACTCACCTTGTCCTGGGGACCCTCACAAACACCACACTGGACACATCCCTAAGGACCACTCTGCCCAAAAGATGACCAAGGCAGTGGTGGAGTCACCACCCATGGAAGCATTCAAAGAACCTGAGGATCTGGCACTTGGGGACACGGGCAGTGGTGGCCTTGGCAGTACTGGGGAATGTTTGATCTGGTGACCTCAGATGTTTTTTCCACCCTTAATGATTCCGTGGTTGCTGTTACCCTAAAATCAGGCAATTTTTAGAGGATTTGCTGAGTTCCTTAGGGAAATTCTTTGGCTGGCTGGACAAAAAATACAAGGCTTCAACTTCTGAAGGAAAAGAAAAATCCTTGGATCACTCCAGAAGTGAGGATTGAGTGTCTCACAAGCTGCCCAGCTCCAAAGACCAAAGCAGGAGATGTGTTAGGATGGAGGATCCTAAAAGGTGGGAGCTATAGCAGAATTCCAGATCCTTACACATACAGTGGTTCTTCTGGAAAAAGACGAGGGAGGAAAAACCTCCAGAAAATGTCAAATAAAAAACAACAAAAACTTCCATAAGTGTATAAACTCTGAATGTCCAAAGAAAGCCTGAGATAGCTTTGATTTCTTTACTCTGATCATGGACAGAAATTCCACTCTTCAAAGACCTTTTCTTCAAGGGCAGTAATTTCTTAAAATTGACTTCTCCTCAGATTAATTCCCTGATAAATCCTCATATTATTTCTTGTCCCTATTTTTTTATTTTGGAATTACTGGGGAGAATCCACTCTGCTCTGGGCGTGTAATGGATGAACTGGATCTTATTACAGGCAGAACAGCTCATCCTGCATGATGAATTTGGGCTGGTTTCATGGTACTGAGGGAAAAGGGGCTGCTCACCCCCACTCTCACAAAGGTGTCTGGAAGAATAATTCCCATTCCTGACGTCTTCCACAAACCATTTCCTTGATACTTGAGAAAAAATCGCTTTTCCAACCTAAACAACAGCATCAAGTGGATAGAAACATTCTCTTCCTGCTCACTAGATGTCACTGGTGCATGTCCCACGATCTTGGAGCTGGCAAAAGCCTTCCCAGCAGGACACATTAAATCCCTGGGTGATTTTAAGCATCTCTCCCTTGAAATTCTGCTGGCATTTTCCCGACAGAGCCTTTTTAACAGGTCCGTAACTCAGCCGTGAGCGTTTACTCCGTGATGGAGCCTGACACGTTCTGCAGGAGCTTCACACAGTTTTCTTTTTAACAGGGGACATTTTCCACTTAATTTATGCAGGAGGAATTTGCTGCATTCAACTGGTTTTTATGCTCCAATAAATCAAAGCCTCTTCCCTTTATAAGATAGGAAAGGAGGCTGAACGTTTCAGTCTGGGAAATTATCTGAGTGGCTTCAGAGTCTTTTAGGGTTTGTGGAAGAGGGAGGACATAGTGCTCCCTAGAGCAGGTAGGTGTAGAAGCACAGGTGCTATTCAGACCCATTTTTGGGGTGTAATCAAACAGATTTGGAGCAAAAATCAGAGGAGGAATGGCTGAGGGAGCTGGGCAGGGGCTGAGCCTGGAGCAAAGGAGGCTCAGGGGGCCCTTGTGGCTCTGCACAACTCCCTGCCAGGAGGGGACAGCCAGGGGGGGCCGGGCTGTGCTGCCAGGGAACAGGGACAGGACAAGGGCAAAGGGCCTCAAGCTGGGCCAGGGCAGGCTCAGCTTGGACAGCAGCAGCAATTTCTGCATGCAAAGGGTGCTCAGGCCTTGGCAGGGGCTGCCCAGGGAGCTTTGCAGTGCCCAGCCCTGCAGGTGTTCCATAAATGTGTGGATGTGAGGACATGGTTTAGTGGTGGGCTTGGAAATGCTGGGTTAAGTGTTGGAGCTGATGAGCTCAGAGGTTTTTCCCAACCTGAATGACTCTGGTTTATGAGATCCCTGATTAATAAAAACTTCAGGTAATCAGTCATAAGAATCTGAAGGAAAAATACAGATCTGCAATTGTGTATCAGTTTTACAAAGTACAGGACAGGGAAAATTCTGCATATCTTGAGAGACACGTGGGTTTTACCCCCTGGCACTGGCTGCTACATCCACGACTTCTACATCATGCCTTTGTTTTCCAGGCAAACATTTCCCTGGAATTATTGGGGGATTAATATTATGGATTACAGGAGCCTCATGCTTTGGTTCAGTGGGGTTTGCTTCTCATGGTGCCAAGTGTGAGCTGCTGTGTCCACCCCCTTCTCCCAGCTCCAGCTGCTTTGGGTTTGGATCCCTGACTCCTGCCTGCATCCCTGCAGCTCTCCACCTGCTGTTCCACTTCATCCTCAATTCCCCTCGCATTCGACCTTCACAAATAATTGTTTTCAAACAGTGACAGCTTCACAAGAAATTCTCTTAAATCAGAGCCTCCACTCTGCTTTAGAAGAAGGAACACAGCAGGTGTTCCCAAAAAAAGCCCATTCTGGAAAAGCCACAGGTATATTCCAGTACACAATCACTTGGTGAGCTGTATAGAAATCCAAGCTGGCAGAAGTCACTAATTCTCTGCTGTTGGTCCATCATGGAATTGTTGGACACTTGGAAAATCACCGGTGGGAATTTATCTTCCTTATTGGTAATTAAATGTTTAGGTAAAACATTTAATTTCTAATTAAATAGGATTTTTTTAAAATTTAGTTTTTAGTAAAACAGGATGTTCTGTTTCTTTTGGACTTATTCACATTTCTCCCATCATATCCAGTTTATGAAATGATCTTTTCTCCCCCTGGTCCCTTTTCTGTCAGATCCAGAGCAGACTCTTGGCTGGCAGAAGGGTGGTTGGGACTTGTGCCTTTCCAGTGCTAAAGTGTCCTCTGACCATGGCAGGAAGAACCTGAGCCATCCCTCTGAAATCAAACTCCCAGGAGAGACCTTGATCTTTTTAAGAGGTTAAAATCTTTGTAGATTTGGGTACATCCCAAATCTCCTAGTTTCTCCCACTTTCCAGTGAAAACTTGGGAACTCCAGCTGCAAAACTCTCTTACTCCAGTGAGCTGACAGCCACTCACCCCCACCCTAAAGTCAGGGAAGTATTCCCTGGGATTTTGCTGATTTAAATATTTAAAAGCTTTTGAAGATAAAAAAAAAGCCCCTAAAAAGCTGAGTGTGCAAGCACAAGGAGCATTTTAATGAAGTTGTTTCTCACATGAATCCCCCTTCCCTTCCTGTTGGAAAATCTGATTTTTAAGCCTGATTTTTGCAGGAATTTCAGTTGGAATCTTAACTCTATTCTGCTCTGGGTACTTCAGTGGACACTTGAACATCCCTAAAATGACACTTCAATATTTTCAGAGGGTACCAAAATGAAGAAGGACATTTTTTCTGACCATGATGAGAGTCTGCAAAGGGAAAAGTTTATTTTTCCTGAAATTCAAAGATCCAACTACCTCCCTGTTCAGATAACAGCTGATTTTCATATCCTGATAGTAGGGGATTTATTGAGAGTTTTCCAAAGGGAGGAGGAAAAGGCTGCCAGAACCTTGGATAAAACTGGGAAAAGATCACAATGACTCCATTCTGGGAATGACCAATACTGGACAAGTGACCACAAATACCCAGAGCATCACTGAGGCCTGAAAAGACTCAATGTCCATGGGGATACCTAAAAACAAATGCAAGGAGAAAGAAGGAGGCTCTGTTGTCACCCCCGAAAGCTGTAATTGCTATTAATTATATTTAATATAATTTTAAAATATTAAATATTATTTTTTTTAATATTTCTACTTCAGAAAAATGATGCTGGAAGACTGGAGTGAGTTCAGAGAAAACTTCAAGTGATTAAAAGAATTAAAACATAGCCCAGAGCAGAACTTATCAAGAATAAAAATACAGAGGATGATGTGAACAGGAGCCTAGACCTTGGTGAGACCTAGAAATTAAAAGCACCAATGGATGCTTTAATTTAGCACCCAAAGTTATTATAAAACTGATCCTGGAAAAATAAAATAAAAAAAAAGACTAAAGGCCTCATTTTTGACAGGGAACTAACCTGCAGTAACAACCCCCAAGTTGTAGTTGATTGGATTGTCTGGTGCAATTGCTTTGCTGACAGATATGTTCCAAGCAGAATTAATTTGGGGAATTCATTTCTGTTCCAAGCAGAATTAGTTTGGTTCCCAAACTTGCTCAGACTGATCCCAGTGATCTTTCCCAGCCTACAAAATCTGAATATCTGCAGAACTTTGCTATGCTGCTGTTCACCTACCCTCCACCAGGAGCTCAGGAGAAGCAACCTCATTTCCCTGCTCTGGTTTGCAGCCTTTTCCTGCCAGGCTGCTGAGGACATGCTAAGTCCAAGAAGAGCCTGGTGGGGTTCTCACCAAGAGTAAAACCAACACCAAGGTGGAACAAGCACAAAAAAAACCCCAAAAAATGGGTGTTTTTTTTCTTTAGAAGAAGAACCTGATTTGCATTTTGAAGAGCCTGATCTCCTGTGTGGAGGTGTGCAGTGGCCCATGTCCCAGTCTGTGTTTTACATGAGGTGCAAACCACCCCCTTCCCTTCCCTTCCCTTCCCTTCCCTTCCCTTCCCTTCCCTTCCCTTCCCTTCCCTTCCCTTCCCTTCCCTTCCCTTCCCTTCCCTTCCCTTCCCTTCCCTTCCCTTCCCCTTCAAAGAAAAAGAGAAGAGAAAAGAAAAAAAGAAAAGAAAAAAGAAAAGAAAAGAAAAGAAAAGAAAAGAAAAGAAAAGAAAAGAAAAGAAAAGAAAAGAAAAGAAAAGAAAAGAAAAGAAAAGAAAAGAAAAGAAAAGAAAAGAAAAGAGGACTCAAGCTCCAAACAGAAACCATGGGAAGCCTGAAGGTCAACACAGCAGCACCAAAGCCTGAAGATCACACAGGACTTTGTGTGCATAGGAAGGAAATTCCTTGCAGGAATTTCAGTTGGAAGCTCCTCCACAGGGTGGAGAAAACCCATTACAAGCTGTCATGGAGACAATGTCTGAACCACGTGGACTGGGACAATTTAGCCCAAGGCACTGGACTGAAGTAGGAAGTGGTAAATTCCCAAGGGGATATTCATGCAGGAGATGTTTCAATGGATTTTTCTGCTCCTGTTATGCTGAACCAATTTCTAACAGACCAGCAGATTCCCAAACAATCCATGGAAACAGAGGGAGATCAACAAAACCAAGACTCACTTGAAGAGTTCGTTCCTCATGATGGCTCTGTTGGTCTGTGGGTCGATGGCGTAGACCATGAGGTCGGACTTGGTGTAATCCTCCTCGGAATATCCATCCCCAAACCTCCGGGCCCCGATGGATTCCACCACGACCGTCGCCCCCGGGATCTGGTCCTGCACGTAGCGTTCCAAAATCCTAAAGGGAAGAGGGAGCTGGAAAGCTGCAGAGATGGATTTGGGCCGCTCACCGCTGACCCCAGCCCAAATGAGGTACTGAGAGGAAAAACCCATAGGGGGAGAAGGATTTTGACCTTCAGAGCACTTTTAAAAAGGAATTGCTGCTCCACATAACCTCTGAAGTGCTGAACTCTTGAGAAAAGCTCAGCAGTGCTTGGAGAGGTCCTCAGAAATTGTGTCCTTAAGTCCAGCTCTTTGTATTTACGACCCCAGTTGAGTTTTAAATGGCTCAGGGGAATCACCACCTATATTTCACACAAAATCCCCTTGTCAGCCTTTTATTAAGTTATATGATTCCAGCACTTCCATCCCAGCCTTCCACAGGGTGCATTCCATAAATTTTCACCCAGAGAAACAACCACTTGAGCAGTTTTTGGTGGGATATTTCATCCAGGCCTCCAATATCACACAAAATTTTTTGGGGGGCTGCAACACCTGCTGCTCCAAAAGGCACCAGGTTTTACAGGCAGGAGGAAATTGGAATATTGGGCTGACACTTTTACCACAGGAAATAAAATCAAATAAACTGCAGCAGGATTCCACAAGGAGGAGAAAGAAAGGCTGATAGAATTTAGAGGTAACAACAATATCAACAAAAAACAAACCCAGCAACAACCAGACTTGCTAATGGTTGATGAGATTTCCAACATGAGACCAAGAGAGGTTCACTCAAAGCCCACAGAGAGTTTTATAAACAAAGGCATAAATGCAAATATCATCAGTTCTGTGCAAAAAAAAGGAGGGAGAAATAAACCAGAGCACTTGGAAGTGTAAAAGTTCTTATCTTTCTTAGATAAGAAAATATAGAATTTCTTGGGGTAACTGATATGATCAGAAAATCAAAAAGCAAAAGCTGAGCTGGGAGGCAAAAGCAAGGGAACTATGGGGAATGTGTTGCTTGATCCATCAAGGATGCACCAGGGTGTGGAGGAAGACACATCTCTCACAAAAAAGGACATCAGTGACTTTAAGGTGTCACTTGTTCAACACAGAACCTTCTGCAGTTGCTGAGGTTACATTTTTGCTGTTGTGTTTTTTCTTCTGACACAAGATTTCCTGATTTCTTAAGACTCCTGATTCACATTTATCCAAGGAACATCTCTTCTCTTTGTGTGGAAATTCAGTGTGCCCTCAAAACCCATTGTAAGCTTTTAAGCTTTTTTATAAGATCTTGAAAAATTCAAGTATGTCAGAGCCAGGTCATACCTGAGGAGTGAATATATGGAATTACTGCAGAGAAAATAGGGCTACAGATTGGCTGACACGGTGCTTGTGGAGTGGTGTCCCCTGAACAAGCTCTCCTGTTGTTTGCAGATATGGAAAACTCTGCTTATCTCTGCTGCTGGCATGCTCTGCACTGGCAGCCAAGGTGAGAACCTGTCACAGACACCTCAGCAACAATAATTCCCCCAGGGAAAACCTGCCAGGACCAATCTGGGATATGGAGATTACTACAAAACCCCACCAAACACGATGGGAGTGTAAATGGCTAAAACAAAACCACAACCATTCTCAGAAGGGTGTTTGGCACAAGGTGTCAGGCAGAACAAATGTGTAAAGGACTTGCCTCCATCATTAGCATTTAATCATCTTCTCTTGCTGCAGGAGGAGATGAATTTCATGGGATCACAGAATGCCAGAATCCACCCTGAGCCCAGCGCCCACCTTGTGCCCAGCCCAGAGCACTGAGTGCCACCTGCAGCCCTTGCTGGGACACCTGCAGGGCTGGGCACTGCAAAGCTCCCTGGGCAGCCCCTGCCAAGGCCTGAGCACCCTTTGCATGCAGAAATTGCTGCTGCTGTCCAAGCTGAGCCTCCCCTGGCCCAGCTTGAGGCCCTTTCCCCTTGTCCTGTCCCTGTTTCCTTGTACAGAACTCTTCTTTCACCCAAGACAGAAATGCTCCATCAGGGTGGAAAGTTATAATGTGGGGTCACTTCTGCCAGAATCAGTAACAAGATTCCCTTTCCTCAGTAATTCCTGGCATCCTGCTGGAATTCATTGCCTTTGAGAATATCTTTGTCTAAAACATTAAAACTGAAGAACAAACAAAATGTTTGGGAAAGGGATGGAGGGACAGGACACAGGGAATGGCTCCCAGTGCCAGAGGGCAGGGCTGGATGGGATCTTGGGAATGAGGAATTGTTCCCTGGCAGGTTGGGCAGGCCCTGGCACAGGGTGCCCAGAGCAGCTGGGGCTGCCCCTGCATCCCTGGCAGTGCCCAAGGCCAGGCTGGAGCAGCCTGGGACAGTGGAAGGTGTCCCTGCCATGGCAGGGGTGGGAATGGATGGGATTTAAGGTCCTTCCAACCCAAACCAGTCTGGGATTCTGTGATATCACTTCCTGAGGAATGTGTACATTGCAGCCATTGGTTGTACTGACATTGCAGGAAACCCCACAAAGTCCAGCAGAATGGCAGCAGTGTTTTGTTTGAAACACACAAATTGCATGTTTAGGTTAAAACAGAGAATAAAATCACACTGAAGACTGAAAAGCTGCAGCTAAAGAATTCACTTAAAAATAGGGCAGTTCCCTCTAGAGTTGTTTGAAAAATCCTTCAACTGAACTTATGATGCTGAAAACACTGTAATGTTTTAGAACTCCTCTGGAAATGGCCACTTGCTTGCAGTGGTACTCACAAAAACCAATTTTTTTCAGATTCCTACTTTTACATAACAACAGCATCCACAGCTCTGCTGTACTGATCAACAGAATTCAATTTAAAATTAGTCTGCCACTTGTTAATCCCACGAGGGTCATTCCCACCCTCCCATGTGGTGTGTAAGAGGTGGAAGCAGGAGCACAAGAGGCAAAGAGCCTTTCCCACTGCTCCAAGTCCACAGGAGGTGTTCAGTGGTGAGGGAAATGCCTCCCACTGCATTTCCAAACAGCTCTCCCAATTCCCAGCAGTGACACTGGACAAGAGGAGTTGCTCTGGCATCAAGGGATCCTGAGGCCCAAAGGTGCCTGAAAATCCTGAGGTGATTTTTTTTTTTCATCTTTAGATGCAAAATAAATGGAAAGGCAAAATAATACAGGGGTGTTGGTCTGCTGAACTGTCCCTTGGATGGGGAATTCTGTCCCAGAATGGTTTGGGTTGGAAGGGACCTTAAAGCTCATCCATTCCCACCCCTGCCATGGCAGGGGCACCTTCCACTATCCCAGGCTGCTCTAAGCCCCCAGTGTCCAGCCTGGCCTTGGGCACTGCCAGGGATGCAGGGGCAGCCCCAGCTGCTCTGGGCACCCTGTGCCAGGGCTGCCCACCCTGCCAGGAAAGGATTCATTCCCAATATCCCAATATTCCCAATGTCCCATCTATCCCTGCTCTCTTGCAGTGGGAAGCCATTCCCTGTGTCCTGGCACTTCCCACTTTTGTGAAAATCCCATCTCCAGCCTTCTTGCACATTCCCTGGAGGTACTGGAAAAGGCACCACATTCCCAGCCTGCTCTCAGTGCCATGTCCATGTGTTTATATCCACACCTGAGGCTGCTGTATCCACTTCCAGGCAGACAAGATCCTGGAGAACACAGGATTAAATTTAGGGGTTCACCCTGGCATCACAGCAAGAAGTTCTTGAGGAATTAAAAAACCTATTGTGTTTTTCTGGAGCACATAAAATATTTTAAGAAATAGGGAAACAAAAGCCCCCAGACATTCTTTCTTTCAGAACTCAGATTACCAAAGACTTGGAGTGAGCAGTGTTGAAGATTCAATATCCTGCATAATTTTTGGCCAAAATTCTATTTCCCAAAAATAACCTGGTCCAATAATAACGATCAGTTTGTATTCTAGGTATTTGAAAACACAAATTTGGCAACCATGCAGAGCTGAGAGCATCCAGACCCCACCATCAGCATCAATGCAGACTTTTCAAGTGCTTTAATTAACTCCTCAATTCTGCTCCACTTCAGGCAAATTCTTCCTGTGTGGAGTTTTTGTGGGATTAATAATTGACAATGAAACCACTGGATTTTCAACTGGACTTCCCCAAAGAGCCAAGGACCAATTCCAGCCCCTCTGGTGCAGTCAGTGAGAGATTTGGGGGATACACTGGAGCCCCAGCTCCCAGATTCCTTATTGCAACATAAATAGAGCTCAGGGAAGGGTCTGCTCATCCTGTAGTGCCTAGGGTTTATTCCAAGCCTAAAAACATCACTTTTCTATAAAACAGCCTTTCACAGAGGCTATTTTTCTATCATACATATGTTCAGCAGGAAGGAGCAGTGCAGAGACAATTCCCTCTGCATAGAATAGAATAATATATATAATACTTCATAATAACATCTAGGACAGAATAACATATTTAAAATTTCGTAATATTATTATTAATAGTATTTAGAAAACAACCCAGAGCCAATGCCTTTATACCCACTTCTCCTAATTCTATAAAAGCAGAGAATCAGGAATCATTAGGGCTGGGAAAGGCCTTTAAGATTCAAGTCTCACTGTCACCCCAGCACCACTACAAGCAGATTGGCTTGCACACCAGAAAGGAAATTTGCTTTCTTACACACTGCTGAAGTTGCTTTCCTTCTCTTTGTGCTCATCCTGTAAAATCCTGCCCTCCAAAACCCCGACACATGCTCCAATATTTTTATTTCAGCCTCATTTGTCCTGGTCACAGAAGGAGCATTGCGCTCATTCAAAGAATAATACCCAGAGACATCTCCCCTCTGACCCCGAGGACAATCTCCAGATCTCAGCACAAAAGGGCCTTTCCTGCAATTGTCAGCAGTTCCTGAGGAAAGAAAGCAGGAGTTTACAGCTCTATCCAGTGCATTGGAGAGCTTTGGAGAGATCCATTAGCACAAGAACCCCGGGAGTTACGGAGAGCTGGAGAGCGGGAGCTCGCTGAACCACGGCTTCCCAGCTGCCAGGGCCAGCAGCAAGGAAAAGCTGGACTTGTAGAAGCTGGGGTCTCTATTACCCAACTGAATAAAGGTGGCCTGCAGGTATTAATCATCCTGATTGCTCAGGAGAGAGGCTGGAACAGGCTCTGTGAACACTACACCCAGTAGTAGTGTGCACACTTTCCCAGCAAAGCCAGACCAGCTGGACATGAAACAGGAGACAGCCAGCTGGTGATAAATGTCTCCCTCATCTATTTATTTAACCAGATTTTATCGAATTCAATCAATTCTGTTATTATCCAATCTATTCCTTTTCTCTGTTGGCAATTTAATTTGGAATGAAACATTACAGTGGGAAGAAGTGATGAGGAAAAGAGGAGGGGAAGGGGAGTGGAGGGACGGGAGCAAAGTGACCCCAAAATGTTCCTGTCAGAGAGTAAAGGGTAAAGGACAAAGCAGCTACAGCTGGACCTGTGACTCAGGAACCTTTCATAAAGGGCAGGGAACCAAGTGCCACCTGTGGAAAGGGCTCAAGGGCAAGGTCACTGCCACCACCCCAACAGGCACACAGTGCAGTCTGCTGTAATTAGACTTAATTCAGTAATTATCTGGCAAAAATCATGCAGTGAGCATGGAAATGTGACTTCTCCTGTGGGAAAAGTAACAAGACTGAGTGATTTATACCCTGCAGCTGAGATGAGCTGATTTTTTACCAGTTCAGGGACTGAGGAGAAGAAAAAACACAACTGCAGGGAAATCATCCACGTCTGAAACACTTCCCTGAACTGTGTGTTCCAGCTCCCAGATATAAAATTTATTGTCTCATATACTATGATTAGACATAAAAATCTTATGTGATGCACAATGTACATGTGCTGTATATTATGATCTATAATTTACAGCACTATTTACTGCTGTAGTATTTTATAACATCTCTTTTAAGTGCAGCACAGTTTCTGTGCATTAAGTAGAGTTCCTTTGAAGAATGATGGCAGTCAGCTTTAGATATGCAAACCATTAAGTTGGAAGGCTCATATTCCAAAATACTCCTTCAGCAACAACTCCAAGAATCAGCACTTGATTCTGCATTTGGATTTTTAGGGAAAAGCCTGCCTGGCCACTTCTGAATTGTGTTAGAGGATTCAGCATGGATTTTCTTTACCTGGGGAACTGCCCCATGTTCTTCTCAGAGCCTAAAACTGACTGAGGAAACAATCAAGAGCTCCCCTAAATTTCCATATCTCAAGAACACTCCATCATCTGTCTCCACCAAGTTTTCTGAAGGGGAGGAGCACACACTGAATTTTCCAAGAAGCCTCACCCTATTTTCTCTGCCCATCCTGCAGCAGACAGAAAAGGGCCTCACTGCACAGCCATAATTAAAGTGGCCAAGAGAAAAGGCAAATGGGACATTGATGAGAGTATGAAAAGCTTGATGAAATTAAAGCAGTCGGAGGAAAACACTGAATGACTGCAAAAGATCCTATTGGAAGTGTCAGCAAAGACAAGTCCATTGTATTCCTTAAAAAACTCCTAAGCCAAATATTGATGCTTTAAATCTTCTCTTCCCTGCTTCACTCCTTTTATATGGACCATTAACTCCCACCCATCTCTGGCTGTGCTGAGTGTGGAAAAACTGAATTATGTAATTCTTAATACCTCATAACTCCTCGTGAAAATGACAGGACCTGGTATAAGTTCCCCTCCAAAGTTGTTTAAAACACTATTTATTTTATTGTGAGAAATCACTATAATTCCACAAATGACTCATGTACCCCCCTCCATAACATTCCCCATCACCAACTGTTGGCTAAGTGTTCTATTTTCAGGGATTAATATTTGCCAAAATGAGAGGAGAAAGAGCTGAGTAACTTGTGTAGGGACTAATTTAATTCACAGCTCACAGAATGGTTTATATTGGGAAGGGACCTTAAGGATCATCTTGTTCTAACTCCCCTGCCACAGGCAGGGACACATCCCCCTAGACAGGGCTGATTATAGTCTTTTTCTCTGTTAATTAATTACACATTAAATTTTTATAAATTACTGCATTATTTGAAGTGGCAAAACTACTTCAGTCTGAGATTCCAAAAAATTTGTTTTCTCTTTGCCTGTGGTTGCACACACAAAAAAATCACAAATTCTTATTTTGTTTTTATGGGCTGCACGAATTATTAAACCTGTATAAAAACAGGGAGAGGGTGATCTTTTAAATTTAGGAGGAAAACATGAGAAATTTGAAGAAAGCCGTGAAATAAATAGAATTCTCAGTGAAATAGACTTTTGTACACAGCTAGAAAATTATTTTGGAGATATTTGTTCTCTACAAATATTTTCAGGAATGAATGGGCCTATTTGAAAACAAGTTGATGTAATTCTTCTGGCGAAGGCTGTCCTTAAAAACGTATTCTTAGAAGAGAAATTCTCCAGCTACACTGATCTGCCCATGGTGTTTGTGAAGGTAAAGACTTCCCAAGATGATCTGGAGAACTCAAAACCTGGTTTTTCAAAAACTTTGTACTCATTCCAAAGCTTTGTTCACTGTGAAATACAGAATCACAGAAAGGTTTGGAGGTTAGAAGTGACCTCCAAGGCCACCAAGTCCAACCATCAACCACCACCACCCTGCCCACCACTAACCCACGTCCTCATGTGCCAATTCCACTTGGCTTTGAACACTTCCAGGCATGGGGACTCAACACTTGCCTGGACAGCCTCTTCCAATGCTGAAACCACCCTGTCCATGAAAGAATTCTCCCTAAAACCCAATCTAAACCTCCCCTGGTGCAGCCTGAGGCTGTTTCCTCTCCTTCTGTCACTTGTTACCTGAGAAAAGAGCTTGACTCCACCTCAGCAGAGCCTCCTTTTAGCAAGTTATTCCTATTTATAGGCAATACCTCATTTTAGGAAGTTATTCCTGGTTCTAGGCAATCCCTCCTTTAAGGAAATGATTCCTGTTTCTAGGCAATACCTCCTTTTAGGAAATTATTCCTGTTTCTAGGCAATACCTTCCTTCAGGAAGATATTCGTATTTCTAGGTAATCCTTCCTTTCAGGAAGTTTTTCCTGGTTCTAGGAAATAATTCCTATTTGTAGGCAAATTTTAGGAAATTATTTTAGGAAAATTTTAGGAAATTATTCCTGTTTCTAGGCAATCCCTCCCTTCAGGAAGTTATTCCTGGTTCCAGGAAGTGCAGTTCCCATGAGTTCAGCCTGAACAACTTCGTTGGTGGTTCTGATGTTCAAATCTCTCAGAGCCAATGCACACCTGGCCCAAAACAGAGGGAGAAAAGGGGAACATGTCCCAAATCTCGAGGAGAAAATCCATCAGGAATTTTTCCTAGCCCAGTGAAGATGTGAGGCACCCAGAGACTTTTTCAATGACTGATTGGACCACCAAGCCCAAAGTATTTCAAATTCTATGCACAACAAGCAGGATGGACCAGACCTGTGGGAAGTGCCACTCATCACTGACTGACATGACAAAAAAAAGGACAAAGATTGGTTATAGACTATTTCCTACAGCATTTTCTATCCCATATTAGCTAATTCCATGACAGCAAGTAGAGAAAATTGTGTTCCAAAAAGAAGCCAGAAGTGCAAATGTGGTTTTTGGGGACTTGTATTGACCAGATAAAAAACCTCCCTCACTCCCTGATCCACCCAATCCCAAAGCCAGGGAATTGTCTGATATTTGGAGATGAAATAAATTGATTACCCTATGAGCTGGTCTTTGTTTTGCTCCACGAGGGTGGGAGGAACATTGGAGACAATCACTTGCATGTCCAACTGATTGACCACAGAGACCTGGAAAGAAAAGAGGGAAATTCAATTGGCACTGCCAGGCACAGCCCCCTCCCCATCCAACAGCAATGGGAAAATTCCTCTCCTGCCTCCACACCATGCCCTGATATCCACATCTCCCCTTTTAATTCCAAATAGCAGAGCTGGAAAATCTTGCAGCCAAAGCCCATAAACATCAAAGATTTAACTGGAATTGTAATTCCAGGTCTGCATCAGAGTTATGGATTTTTAAGGTGGGGACAGGAAAAGCTGCTCTTAGTTTAGATTTGACTTAGAGAATCCCAGATCTCCCATGGGCTGCATTCAAAATTACTTGTGAGCTTTTGGGTGGTTTGGATGCCAGGAAAATCCTCTCTTGGAGCCATGCAATGTGCACCAAGAAAAGTGGAAATACAGGATTAATTCCACAAAATCAATGCTACTTTGTTAGAAAATCAGGAAGGAAATTGTTCATTTACATTGAAGTGATCAGGGAGAGGTTTTATTTTAATCTCCAATTGTTTTAGCTTCTCCCTCTATCGTAAAACTGCACATTTTACGACTGAGCTTTTTCTTTAAAAAAAAAAAAGAAAAACAAAGGAGGAATAAATGCTTCTAATCCACTCAATACTTGTGTGCTTTGTTGGAATAAAATTAAATTTCAGTTTTCCACCGAGGTATGGAGTAACCTCAGAGCAAATATCTGGCAATTCTTGTTTTTTACTATGAACCCAACAACACTCCAATCTGTTGAGGATTCTGGAGGAAAATTTGGAAAACTAGGCCAATGTTAAAGCTGATAAATTTAAAAATCAAGGGTTAGTCGATTCTAAAAGAAATAAACAAGCCCTGATTTTCCAAAGAGGAGCCCTGGAAGCACAGCAGCAGAAAAACCTAAATGTGCTTCCACATCAAACACTGATTCACCAGCTTTGAAGCTTAATTCAACTTTAAATATTTAAATGTTCTTGAAATGTCATCAGATGCCCTGATCAGCACGTACAGGCTTCTGTGTAAGAAACACAGAATTATAATGAGCTCCAAATAAAAATCATGCAATGGAACTGGAAAGCAATGATTAATTTAATAGAATTAATCACATTAGCCAATTCAAGCAACCACTGTGCACCCAGGAACTGAAAACAGCACAAAGGCAACACCAAAAACAAAGGCAGTGATTCTTTAGATAAGGAAGAAATCACAATTATCATCGGTTGTTCATGTACAAAACCAGGGATAAACACACATTGGTGACAAGTTATAGGAAACCAAGGGTGTTGGACAAAAATCAAGCGACATTTGAGGTTTCCGTGGTAACATTAACTTGCTTGTTATCCCCATTTGTAAAGGCAGGCAAAGCAGAAAATTGCTGGTAACCTCTAGCCCACGAGTGATATCCCTTTGATCCCAAGCTTCTCTCATCAGGCACTTCCCGAGTTTTAAATTGAGCAAGGCAGAGGCTACAAAGACTCTTGATTGTGATATGACACCATTGGACTCCTGGGAGAGGCTGGGACTTGAATGAGGAGGGGCCTTGAAGCCTCCCCAAACCCCAAAAAATATTTGATTAAAGATGTTCTCTATAACATCATAAAGCTGATATCCAGGATTTCAAATCATGTTAGTGAATACCCACCACCTACCCTTCCTCAGCACTTTTAGGTGCTTCCTTGCAGCAAACTCACTTTAAAATGTAATTCTTGTATCTCTTTCATCTCACAGATGCTGAGAGGGAAAACTCCATCACATGGAAGCAAACTGTCAAGCCACAGGTGTCTGACCTGAGCCATCCTGGTGTCCTTCCCATGGGCTGTCCCCACCAGTGTGACAATCTCTGACCAGGGCATTTGGCAGACCCTGCTGCTCCCAGAGCTGTGCCAGGCTCTGGGGAAGCATCCTGCTCCCAGCTCTGGACCTTGCTCTGCCCAGCTTCTGCCCAGCATCATCTCTTTGGTGGTGACCTGCCTCTTCTCCCCAGACCTCCTCCCAGTGCAGTCCTATCTTCTTCCCTCACATCTTGTTCTTCTGCATGAGAGTAATTAAATTAATTTTTCTGTTCACTTTTTGAGCTGTTTTGAAAGAAATAACATCTGAGAGCCTGAGCCCCTGACCCCACAGCAGGAAAATCCTGTTAAAATAATGGGAAAGGATCTCAGTGTATGGATCACACTTGGTGCATAAAATCAGACAATCCCAGAATGGCCTGGGGGGAAGGGACCTTAAAGCCCACCCAGTGCCACCCCTGCCATGGCAGGGACACCTTCCACTGTTCCAGGCTGCTCCAAGCCCCAGTGTCCAGCCTGGCCTTGGGCACTGCCAGGGATCCAGGGGCAGCCCCAGCTGCTCTGGGCACCCTGTGCCAGGGCCTGCCCACCCTGCCAGGGAACAATTCCTCATTCCCAATATCCCACCCAGCCCTGCCCTCTGGCACTGGAAGCCATTCCCTGTGTCCTGTCCCTCCATCCCTTGTCCAAAATCTCTCCCTCTCTTTCCTGTAACCCCTTCAGGCCCTGCAGGGCCACAATTTGGTGACCCCAGAGCTTCTCCTCTCCAGGTGAGCAGCCCCAGCTGTGCCAGCCTTTCCTCCCAGCAGAGCTGCTCCATCCCTCTGCCCATCCTGGTGCCTGCCCTGGGCTCTCTCCAACAGGTCCATGTGCCAGTGTTCTAGGCAGCATGGGGTCTGGAATTGTATCTCCAGCTCCTCCAAGTTGCCAGGCCTTGCTCAGAGCAGCTGGGTGCCCTGCTCATCCCTCAGCCAGACATCAGAAAGAAACCTCTATAAATTAATGAGACATCCTTCATTTTCTAATGTTAATGTCGACTCCTTCTGGCTATATTTTAATATCCTATTAGTGTCTAAATTACCTGAGAATGCCCCATCATTTTGGGAGGTCAAGCATGAGGGTGTCATCTTTTATGTTTACTTGGAGAACTCCTGGAGAACTCACCACACCAAGGACTCTGGCTCTCATCTGTATCCTTTGACAGTGTTCCCATGAAGTAGATAATGCACTCCATCCCTTTCACATTATGCTAATATTGAGCCAATCCATCAAGTTTATAGGTTTTAAGGAAATTTAGCTTGGATGGTTTCAGTGCCTGGACTAAGTCAATGTTCTTTGAACAGCACAAAACCACAAGCCTGACACCTAAAGATGGTGACAGTTCTGGAATGCTGCTTTCTCAGGGACTGAAAAGTTCATTCTCAGCCCAAAATTATTCCTTAACACAAGCAACTAAGACAACTTGGACATGACCAAGGGACACAGAATCACGGAATGGTTTGGGCTGGAAGGACCTTAAAGCTCATCCAGTGCCACCCCTGCCATGGCAGGGACACCTTCCACTGTCCCAGGCTGCTCCAGCCTGGCCTTGGGCACTGCCAGGGATGCAGGGGCAGCCCCAGCTGCTCTGGGCACCCTGTGCCAGGGCCTGCCCACCCTGCCAGGGAACAATTCCTCATTCCCAGTGTCCCATCCAGCCCTGCCCTCTGGCACTGGGAAGCCATTCCCCATTGTCCTGCCACTCCAGGCCCTTGTCCAAATTCCCTCTCCATGTTTCTGGAAGCTTCTCCGGGTCCTGGAAAGCCACAATGAGGTCACCCCAAAACTTCTCCTCTCCAGGCCGAACAATCCCAGCTGTGCCAGCCTTTCCTCCCAGCAGAGCTGCTCCATCCCTCTTCTCATCCTGGTGCCTCCTGTGAACTCACTCCTAACAGGTCACAAAATCTTTTGGTTTAAGAAACGAAAAGCTTTATTCCAGTGCCTTCAAAAAATTAAGCACAAGCACCTGATGGCTTTTCTCTAGGTCTGCCTGGAATGAAACTTTCTGCAGGGTTTGAATTTCCTGAGGAATTATTCCATACTAAGAATCCCTGGCTGATACTTACGAGCACGTCTGCTTTGCTGCTCAGTCCTTTGCCGTAATCGTCGGTGGCAATGACCTGGAACTTGAAGTAGGATCTCCTCATGTTTTTGAAGAGCATGGCAGTTTTGATCAGCCCTGTGTAAGCCTCGATCACAAAGCCCTCCTTGCCATCCTTAATGGGGGGAATGATGAGCCTGTATTGCATGGCGCTGTAATTCCCAGTGTCCTTGTCATCAGCCTAATGGGGAAAAGGAAACAAGCACAGGAAAACAAGGTAAATATGCATGGAAGGAGTCATTAACCTTGTCCTTTAAATAAAGTTACATCTTGGCCCAGCAAATTTCTGCCACTCTGACATTTAAAACATTAGATCCCAGAGCACAGATATGGCTGCTACTTTAAATGCTTCATTTAACTTTGCTGCACTCAGTTTTGCTTTTCCAGCAATTTCTTCCCCTTCTGTTGGCATTAAACTGCTCCAGAAGAAAGAAAATAAAAATTAAAAAGTAGAAAAATATAAGTTGACTTTCAAGTCTTCAACAATACCTAAGAACTGCTTAATTATGAGGAACCTCCACTGCCAAATTCTCATTGAAAAAGAATTATCAAAGAAAAAATCATCTCAGCAATCCCTGCACAGACTTGCATAATAATGTCCTTCATATTAGAGGGATGCCTAATAGAATATCCATATTCTGATGGAGCACAGGTATTTTTGGTGCAAGCAAGTAACTTTTCTATAAAATAAGGAAGGATTGAGTGGCATTCCTGCAGTGGTGCACAGGGACCTGCTGGGCACCCCAGTTCAGGACACAGAGCTGTCCTGGCACCGCTGCTGAACTGGATCAGGATGCAGAGCTGGCATCACAACCAGGCAGCCCCAGGAATTGTTATTCCACCTTCCCTGCTCCTGACAGCCCTGTGCAGTCCCATCCTGGCCCCTCCAGCCCCATTCCTTCTGCTCCTGTTCAACCTGTATCCAGAGGGAAGTGTTTCCAAGGACCTTGACCGAGCTTTCCTGTGCTCCTTCCAGGGAGCAGCAAGGTGGGAGCTAATTAATGCCTGAGCACTCATTAGTCTTGGTCTTGGCCTCAGCATCTGGGATACTTCAGGATCTATCAGCAGGTTGTTATGGAAATATTGGCACTGCTCCTGAGGCCTGTCACTTGAGCTAATGCTGGAATAAAAACCAGCCTTAACTTTGAAAAGGTGCACGTAAAATCCATGGAAAATCCATACTGTGCCATGACTTAGGAATGAAAAACAATAAGGGTTTGTGTCAGCATCAAGAGTTTGTAGAATCATGGAATATCCTGAGTTGGAAGGGATTCACAGGGATCATGGATCCAGCTCCTGTTCCTGCCCAGACGCCCCAACAATCCCACCCTGGGCATCCCTGGAGCAGTGTCCAAGCTCTGCTGGAGCTCTGGCAGCCTCAGGGCTGTGCCCATTCCCTGGGCAGTGCCCAGCACCCTCTGGGGAAGAACCTTGCCCTGATCTCCAGCCTGACCCAGCTCCAGCCATTCCCCGGGGTCCTGTCCCTGCTGACAGAGAGCAGAGCTGTTTATGGGACACCACAGCTACTAAAAGAGAATTATCTGTGCAAGATCATTAAGCCTTCAACAGGGGGCCATTATTCATCATTAATGGCTTCCTCACCAGCACTGAGTAAGTTCTATATGGTGGAAATCGTCCCTTCTGGCTTTTTATTCATTTTCAGATAATTTTTCAGGGAATACCAGCACCAGATAAGCAATCCAGGTACTCAAAGCTGTGTATGCTCCATGTAACTCCCATCAGCCCAGATTCCCAGACAGAACCATCCAGCACTTAAAGGATTACATGCAGGCTGGTTTAGCTGGAAAGAGCAAGTTTCATTCAGAACAGCTCAAAAAATCAACTCCTGGAATGACACTGGCTGTAACTTGTCACAGACACACAACTGGTTAAATTCCCACCCTCTCTCAATACTTTGCTTTCTTCTAAATTCACAAAGCTTCATCTGGCTCGACTACCAAAAGCATAAATATAAAATGTGTTGTTTTTGTTCTCCAGATCCATAGGGTTTTTTTAAGGCTTTTAAAACCCAGAGTGCTGCCTCCTGGGTGAGCTCAAACTCCTTTATTAGTGATTTTAAGAAAGATGGAAAGGTTAAAAAGCTTTCTGAAATTTTCTCTGTTCTGTCAGTCAAAAAAGCAAAGATATCAGTGGGCTTTTCCAGAGCATTCCAGCTGGCACAGGGAAATCCAACCCCACAACATCCCAGAGCCAGGAGATGGGAGCCTGACAGGTGGAGAGTCAGGACAATTGTTGGCTTTCCACATAAATAAATTGCTGAAGGAAGAAATGAATGTGAAAACACGCTATGTCATAGAATCATGGAATTTTTAGCATTGGAAAACATCCCCAAGATCACCCCAGCCAACCTTTGATTGTCACCTTGCCCATTAAACCACATTGTGCAGTGCCACATCCACTCATTCCTTGGACACATCAAGGACTGGTGGCTCCACCATTCCATGGACAGCCCCCTTCCAATGCTCTGCCACTCCTTCCTGAGGAAACATTTCTAATATCCAACCTGAACGCAAGGAAGTGGCTGGAGAGAAACACCACGTTGATGTTTGGATGGTGAGAAACAAAGACAAAAATTAAAGCAGCACCTCAGCTGTGCCTGGAGCGCCAGGACACAGGGAATGGGTTCAGATTGACAGAGGGCAGGGTCAGATGGGACATTGGGAATGAGGAATTGTTCTCTGGCAGGGTGGGCAGGCCCTGGCACAGGGTGCCCAGAGCAGCTGGGGCTGCCCCTGCATCCCTGGCAGTGCCCAAGGCCAGGCTGGACTCTGGGGCTGGGAGTAGCCTGGGACAGTGGAAGGTGTCCCTGACATGGCAGGGGTGGGATGGATGGGATTTAGGGTCCCCTTTAAACCCAAACCATTCTGGGAATCCAGGGTAAATTCAGCTCAAACAACACAGCTCAGGATGAAGCCATGACCAATCCAGAAAAGTCCTGCCTGGCCAAACCCTCTTGTTTATCCACACTCAGCTTTGCATGTTGGTAATGGAGCTGGGGGGGAAAGAAAACCAAAATTCCAGTAACCCCACATGAGGGACCCAGCAGCAGCCACAGGAGCAATGTCTGATCCAGCTCCTTTGGGGACATCCATGAGCAAGCCAAGTTTCCCACTGAGTGCCCAGTGAAGTCCAAAGGCTCCCCAGAGGTGCCCTGGAGAGCAGCAGGACGCCCTTCCAATAAAAAGCCAATTTCTTTGTTAAAATGGATTTATGAGGTTGGTTCAGCTGGGTCAGAAGCCCATCATATCTTTAATATTGGCAAATTGTCTCTCAATAAAATCTACAGCTTTTAATCGTCGCTGCTTTCAATGACACCAGAAATCAATTTCACCTTCAGTATTTCACACCTGGAGACGTGTGTGACTAAAAACAAACAAAATTTGGATCCAAATTAAGGTATTGATGCTGCAGGCACAGGCATTAAATGAAGTCAGGCCTCCTACACAAAGCTCAGGGCATTGGAGCTCAGCACTAATGAGATGTTCAAGTCTTGCAGCTGAGTTTAAGGCATTCAACTCCAGTGAAAGAGGCCTTTTGACTTTTGAAGCTCACAGCTTGTCAAGTCCTGCAGAGTTCAGGTGCCTCGAGCTGGTGGACAGGCTCTGAGCTAATTGTCACCAGTTCTGAGAGCTCAGTGCCACCCCAGAGCCATCAGCAGCCCCAGCATCATCACAGCTCAAGCTCTTTCCACATCCACCCAGAGATGAGCAAACAGGTGCCAAACAGTCTGGAAAAATGATCAGATTCCAGCTTCAAGTATTTAACTTTGTTGTTTGCATTCCCCCCTTTTTCTGCTCTTTGGATCAAACCTAAGGACACTGGGCTTGGCAGGACCAGCAGAGAGAGCTTGTGAGCTGCTCCCAGGAACCTCCCAAACTTCTCTAATCCTAGGAAGGATGTTTGCTATGCCTGTAATTTGTCCTGAAGGTAAATATTTTTGACACTTCATTAGGAAGAGATCTATGACATCTCAAGAGTTGCATTATGACTGTCAGAGAAGAGAAAGACCTGCACTTAATCTTAATATTCCAGCAGCATATCTGCCTTTTGTTCTGCACAAGAAATACAGATGTCTCCTAAATCCTGCTGTGATTGAGGGCTGATAAATATGGATGATCTCAGGAATTACCAGGACAAATTCCAGCCTCCTGTGATTGAGTGGAGGTGTGCCCACACACGGAGCTGGGTCAGGATTCCAGCCCTTTGCCATCCCCTCCCACAGACAGGGCACACAAATCCTGGGGTGCTCCCTAAGCCCAGCACCAAAGCAATGAGGATATTTTTACTCAGAGGGTGCTCAGAGCAGCTGGGGCTGCCCCTGCATCCCTGGCAGTGCCCAAGGCCAGGCTGGACACTGGGGCTTGGAGCAGCCTGGGACAGTGGAAGGTGTCCCTGACATGGCAGGGGTGGCACTGGATGGGCCTAAAGTTCCTTTCCAACCCAAACCATCCTGTTGTCTCAGTGAGCAACTCATTCTTTTTTTTCTCCTTTGCAAGAAGGTCCAACAAATGATGCCTTTAAAGCATAAATTAATTAATCTCTGGCTCCATGTGCCTGCACAAGCACAGCTTTGATGGCAGGACACCCAGGCAGGCTGGTAAACCCCAGCTGCTGTGACAGCAGCATTGACCCTGTCACCAAAAGCCACCAGTGGCATGTTTGGGACGAGCATAAAAATTATCACTAACTCCTGAGGCTGCATTATCAATGATGATCCCAGTTTTTAGCATTATCAGCCTGAGCTAAACCCAGATTTGCTGCTCAGAGTGCAATGCAGTTGTTAATTTGAAATGTTTCCCACCTCCCTCCCAGGGTCACCCTTACCCACAAGCCCGATGCTGCTAAGGGGGCACGGAAAATGGCAGGATTGGGATTGGGACTGGGCTGCTGAGGGTTTTTCTCCCCCTTCCTAGCAGATGGCAGCTCCAATGTTCCCAATTAGTGGCTGGCACATAAAGCAGTTTTTAGAACCAGACCGTTTTTGCCAGTAGGAATTTCCAGATTGTTGCAGATTTCCAGTTCTGATGGCACAGCTGCCACTGGTCTGTTTTAGGGGAGGTTTCTGGGTGTTCTACAGACACCTAAGCCTGGAAATTTGGGGTAGCCATTGCAATTTTCCTTTATTTCCTGTATTTCTTCACTTCCATGCTCTTTTACACC